TATATATATATATATATATGTATATATATATATAGATGATTATACAACATTGTATCTTGCATAAGTTCATTGTATATCTAGTGTTTGTTATGTGTAATAATAAAACACTTTACGTATCTTTCACAAAAAATTTTATGGCATTTGTTTTAAAAAATAAACTTTCTATGTAAATTGTAGTAACAATAATGTACACAATTTTGAAGTTTTGTATATTGAATAATTGTATACAAGTGTTATAAAAAAATTTAATGAAATAATTGAACCTTGTGCTGAATATTGTAATTTGTTTTAATTAAATTGAATTAACAAAAAAAGATATTTTATAAGTTTTTAACTCTTTAAAGTTAATTTTTGGTATAAATATATGATTAATTAATGAAGGATAATAAACACTTATTGGTGCTCACTATAGGTATGCATTTGTTAAATCAATAAACCTTCCTACATACACATACGCACATGAAAAGCATTAAGTAATGCATTTAAAATGTGCTTATGCCTTGGTCCTGCTAAATCTGGTAAAACCTTTTTAATGAAAAGATTACAAGGAGGTGACATGGATGATGCAACTCATACTGTTTCTACAAATGGCATTAATCTTTTTACCGTAAAAAATAAGACAGGTGAATTTGACATGGTCATTAAAGAAATTGGAGGTGGTATGGCACCAATATGGAAACATTATTTTGATAAGGTATATGTTATACTTTTTTGAATTATTAGTAAGACAAAGATATTGATATTTTTGAAACTTTTTAATTATTAGGTTCGAAAAATTATTTATGTAATGGATACAAGTAATCTTTGTCAGATAAGTGCAGCAGGAGTATTACTATATTCTTTGTTGGTAGACCCTAGATTGAAAAATATAAAAATTGCATTGACGTTAAACAAAATGGACCTCTCTTATCGTCAAATGCGTAATGAAGCCTTGCTTATGCTTCAATATACTCGCCTGCAAAAAGAAATTACGCAAGAACTGACTATATTTGAAACTAGTGGAATGACTGGTCTAGGTATTGAAAAATTAAGGGAGTGGTTATTTGATCCAGCTACTTTAAAATCTGCTATAATTGCCAATAAGTAGAATTAACATATAATATGAATTGATTTTATCTGAAAGTGAATATTTCTTTTTATTTACACTCAATCTTATGAAGGTATAAAGATTATACAGGTAGAGAGACTTATCAATATCTGACACCAATGTTATTTTAACATAATGTGTTACTAAATTCTTTTCAAATTTGTTTGTTTATCCTCAAAAGCATAAATATCAGAAGTAAAACATCATATCAGTTTAATTAATTTTCGTAATAGTTATAATACTTGATCAAAAAGTTCTTGAATTCATTTTAAGTAAGTACTATTTGATCGATTTTGATAATCATAAAAATGCGTTATGTTTAAATTTACAAGTAATATAGTATTAGAATAGGTACATTTTCTAAGAGAAAACCATTTTATCGATTTACATGAATAATTTATTCTTAAAATAAATTCAAAAACTTTTTGATCTATCTTTATGTGTACATATGAAAGTAAATAGATCACGTTATAATAGTAGAATCTAAATTAAAGTACAAGAGTTCAAGTGTACATTATTGAAAATAACTTTCATAAAATGAACAATAAATAAAATGTACTGCTCTGTTTTCTTGTACTATTAATGATAAATAGATAGTTGTACGCACATTTCTTAATTTATGTTCCAAACATTAAGACCTTCCTTAATCTATCCATCTCTGAGCTTCTCAAAATATAATAAACTATACAAGTCAGGCAAAACACTACATTTAATGTATTCTTGTAAGATCCTCTACTATTTTTACAAGATCGTCTACTGTTGCTTCTTTCCTCATGCCACTAGAATCATCCATCTATAAAAAAGAAAAAATATTAAGAATGCAAAAAAGCTGAATAAATAAATTAATAAAACCTTTATTTACCATAAGATCCACTGCAACTTCAGCCATTTTATCAGGACTTAAGTCAAGAAAACTTTCAATTAAATCACCATCTATAAACCCTTCGCAATTTTCAACTTTTAGTTCAGTATTAAAACTCCTCCAAAATCTATGTTCTATTTTGCCAACACTTTTTATTACTTCTGTTAATCTGTATTCAAGATGTCTTAAAAATTCATAAAACGTAAACGGAATTTGCGTAACTAAACCAATTGCGCCACTGACGGTTCCAAATAATACACAACCTTGTGTTGGAGTACTTGATTCACCTAAATTTTGCATTACTAAAGATCCATGTCGGAAAACATTAACCATATCACCTAAATGAAATTGTCCAATTTCTTGCATTTGTTGTCTTTCATCTTCCGATGTAGCCGCACTAAAATTAATTTAAATTTATAATCTTACGATGTTAAAGATGCATGTACAGGCATAACGAAAAACGAGAAATTTTACCTGTCCTTTTGACAAACAAAGAGATTGAAACAATTCTCAGCGCCTAAAAATGTATCATCATCTAAAATTTCAACAGCAGTCATCCAATTTGGATTATAATCTCTTGCAATTTCTTCAAAGCTGCCTTCCATTGTTTTATATTGAAGCAATGTAAGAGACCTCATCAGATCTCCAACTAAAACAAAATCTCCTTTTGTTTTCAAATAAAGAGCAATGATATTATTGAAGTGGCTGCATTCTAGCCTGAGTTCTTTTTCAGCAGTCCACTCAAATAAACGGACAGTGCTGTTAATACTGGCAAGAAGTTTTCCATTAAATTCGACCAAAGAATAACATGATCCTTTGATTTCTTTTTCAGCAACTTGCGTGAGTTTTCCATCGTTCCAATGATATAAAAGTATTCTACCCATTTTTGGTTCAGTCTCGTCAGGATTAACAAGTGCAGTTCCAACCACATAATAGAAAGTGGGATCTTCGCCCAACTTTGTCGATATCAATGATAACGCATACTCATTAGGCATTAACATATGAGCATGTAAAACTTCGAAAGTATGTTGATCTATAATGAGCAAATTATGTACTTCAATTTCTTGACTAATATCACTTGCTGTAGGCTTATTGTGAGATGCAATGTGACTGCTACTAGATGTAGAAGCAGCTTGCGTTGATGCAGAATGCCTTACAATACTAACACCGCTACTATCTTGAATATCAACCCGCATAGTTATTACACCAAATGTTTGAGAATTTTCTTGATAAGCAATTCGTCTTGGTGACTCTCCAAGAGGAACTGTGCGAATGTGCAGCTTTTGTATTTCATCAATTGTTCCTATTGTTACAGTACTGTCGGTTGCTAATGCTAAGCTATCAGGATATGATTCTGCATTTAAAGAACACATATGATTTACTTCTTTCAAATTAACATTGCTGAATACTAGTTTGTGATTTGATGAGTAAATTACAGTAGGCCTATCAGAACATGCAAAAACATTGATGGTAGACAATGATCTGAAAGTTCTTAAAACTGTTGGTTGTGTACCTAAAGTAACTTTCTTTTTATCAGAAAGTATACCATTTTGTTTATGTAAAGTAAAATAATACATGCTACCATCTCCAAGAGCACATAAAAGGTATGTATTACCTTCAAAGCATGTCATTAAGATAGATCTAGGAATGATTTCACCTCCGAGTAATTCTTTATTGATTTCTTCCAAAGCAGGTAAAGTTAAAATACGGACAGAAATATCAGTCCATAAACCCACTGCAGCGATTTTTGCTTCTGTATTGCCATCTAATGGTGATATATCTAAACATGCTACTTCATACTGTAAGGTAGCAAATCCTTTTGGTACAATTTGTCCACATGAAATTTCCATGTAAAATAAATCATTTCCTGTAGCACAGAGTACTTGTGTACCATTGCAAGCTACGACACTAATAGTTCTTTTGTTCTCTGGTTCCCATTCAGAAACAACCGTTTTAGTTTCATGTGAAATCAATCTAGCAGATGTTGGCGTTATCTGGATAAATAAATCATTTGTAACATTCCCAGTATGAAAAGTTTGCTCATCAGCCACAAAGCCTGGAATATCTGTTTCTTCAACTTCTTCTCCATTTAAAGTTAAAATTCTGGTTTGTCCAACAAATGATAATACTAAGGTATTATCAAAATTGCCACCACCAATTCTAAGTGCCCACATACCCTTGATCCCTGGCAAATCAATACTCGCATGTTCTTCAATACCTATTCCATTTCTAATAATTCTAAGAGAACCTTCTTTGAAAGCTCCAGAACATGTAACCATCTGTCCTTGTCCTTGTCTTTCAAGATCGACTACTGCCATATCAACTATCGGTGCCAAATTAGTAAAGGTTTCCATTGGAACACAATAGGAACCATTTTCATCTGCTTTTGTAATCAATTTAATTAACTGTGAATCACCCAAACGACTACCAACAAATATTACTCCATTATCTAAGTATGTAATGCATTCTGGTATACTAATTTCTCCTAAAAGTTCAACTTTTAAATCTTTCACAACTTGTGTACCATCTGGGTTCTTTTCTTGTTCCAAAAATAGCATAAACAGGTGCCCAGCCATGTCTCCTAATAAATATCTGAGTCCTTGATTATCAACTTTAGCATAACATGTAATTGTACTCTGTTTAATAATTGGTGGTACTACTGCAACATATGTAGTTCCATCATGATACAATATACTTTCTTGACCTATTATTATTGCACCACAAATGGGGGAAGGAACAGGAATAACCATTGTAGCCTCGCGTTCTACATTGTCTTGTCTCCAAGGTATTTTAACAAATTCTTTATCTCTCAAAGATATTTCATGTGTTTTAACATGTCTACCATTGATATCTTGATGGATTAAAATTAAAGTGGGATTAGCACATCCATGAAGAAAATTCACATCTTGTACTTGTTGTTCATCCATTCGTATTGATGATGCTTTTAATTCTGGATTATCCTTGTCAAGTGGTATGATTTTAAAAAGCCCATCATATAATCGGAGACCAATTACACGTGCTTTAGGATCGATCACTGCTTTAATTCCAGTTTCAGATGCTTTTCCAATACGATCCGCCACATTTCCATGTGCTTTTGTTATGATTTCTATTTCTTCTCCTTCTCCAATACATTCCAGAATCATAGCGTTATAACGAGTAGTCAGAAGAAACAAAAGATCTTTCTTCTCATGCTACAGAAACAACATAATTCATTAATTACTGCACTTCAAAATTTGAATATTTAAATGATTGCACTGTATTCATTAATACATTATCACGTGTAGTCCAACTATTATTAATATGAAAACAAGGGAACGAACACATAATCGACAACGATTAAAATACGAATACCAGTATAACCTTACCGGCGGTCTAAAAAATTTTACGACTGCTATTTTCCCATAAATTCCAACTTCTTTCAATGGTCTTAAACCTTCTGGAGTAACAAGATAAATCTCTAATCGAACATTTTTCGCTAGGATGAGATTCAAATCCGTAGGTGAAGTAAAATTACCTTTGTAAGTAAAAAAGTAATTGTTTATCAACGTTGAATTTATTATGTTTTACGAAACAGATTTACTTACCAGTCACACATGCGGTGACAGCCGTAGGTTTATGTGCTGTTACTACATAATGATGAGACATTGCTCTCATATTTTACTCAACAATACTTTTCTATATTTGTTAACTATACGAGCCCAAGAATACACGATTATGCACTGGCCTTGCGTGGTTTTCAATTTCACGCGCCACGAAGTTGGCAACGTTTCACAAAGCAATTAAGCCTGGTGCACAATGAATGTACGATTTAAAACGATTTTTCAAGGTGTGTTTAGACTAAACAAATGAGAATGTATAAAATAGAGAACAAAAGTATTTGTTTGTGTTCGTTTAGCATAAACACCATCAAACAATCGACAACGATCATCAAACAGATTAATTAGAATAAATGTCGGTAAAGATTGAACTAAGGCTGAAAATTTTCAAAATACGCACGTATCTTATAGTTACTTGTAAAATGAGATAATAGAAAATTTCAATTGATAAATCGATCAATAAAAATAGTAGGACAAATTGAAAACCATCAAATTGAATCATATAAGATGTAAACGCATTGAATTGAAACAACATTCAAAGGAATGAATAATTTATCCGCTCAGTTTAAAAATTAAAGTCACCTTCAAGTAAATATGACATTGCTAATTAACAAGTATATTTTGATAAAAATGTTGAATAAAAAGAATTGAACTTTAAAAGTACTTAATATAGTTAAGAAAAATGAAAACACAGTACTGTGTACGCCATTCTTTAAACTGATATTACTTCATATATGTAACTTTTTCCTAGAAATCAAATTTTATAATCTTTTATGATATTAATCATGATTTTATTAAATATTTAAGGGATATCTACATTCTAAAACAGTAGAGATATCCTTAGATACTTTCATGCTATTGAATACTTTTAAATGAAGTTCATCTTTTCTTGCATAAAATTTTAGGAGAATAATTATAAGAAAATAAAGAAAAACTTAAAATTTATTAAAAATGTAAAGTGCAAAATATTTTTAATACATTACATATGTAGACCATAAACTAATATGTATCATTACATTTCAGGTCTCTATAATTATACAATATTTTTAATTTTTACAATATCACAATTTTAATATTAATTTGTATCATTTTATCATGTCTATACAGTTTTATGACTTATTAGTTGATGGTCTGTAAATTTTAAATTCATACAATCATCAATTTAAAGTGGCATTTCATCGTAAACAAACCATTTTAAAAATAATTAAACTGCATTGTAATCAATACCAATTTAAAGTAATACAAAATAACATCATAGAATGTATACCATAAATATGTAACTTTTGCAAATTTATCAAGCACATGAAAATGTAGCCTGCACAGATATAAATTTGCTTTTCTCATAAGATTAGGTGTGTATTTCCTACTTCATTACATGCTTACGTTGTTTACACAAAACAGTCTTAAAAGAAGTATAGGAAGTAAATTGTAAGGGCACATTCAAGGATAATCTAAGGTTACATATCCGATATCAGAAAGAGGATCAAGCTGATCAAGTTGATTTAAACCAGTCTTGCTTTCTAAATTGGTAGAATTAAAGCAAATATGCAGGACCAATGACGTATATAATACGACTTGTACATTAATTCTTGAAACACTGAATAGACTTTTAATATAAAAAACAACTTTTTATAATCTATGTGGGGAAATCAAAAATTTCTTGAATAGTCACATGACCATTCGAAAGGTTAACCAGGGTCATAGATGTCTTAGAATTCTCACTCGAGCTACTATCACAACTATCACTTTTACTATCAGAACTAGATACTGAACTGTCTTTCCTTTGACTATTTTCACGTATAGAGTAACCCCTATGCTCTGGAGAAGAGCTGGAACTTAAAAGAGGCCCACTACCTCTGCTCCTATTCCCATTACTTGTACTATCACTGTCCCTTTCGCTATCAACACTTGAAACTGTACTGCCATGTCTTTGGGCTCTTAAGGATTCATTTTCTCGCTTTAATTGTTCATTTTGTTGCATTAAATCGTCAATCCGTTGTTGACAAATTTTCAATTTTTTTGCCGATTCTGTATCTGTAGTACAACTTTTGCTTTCCAAATCTCTTTCTTCTGTTTGATGAAAATTTTTACCACGTAGACGTTTTGTCAATAAATCTACTTTGGCCTCTAACTGTAGATATTCTTGTATTAATTCTGATTTACTTAATGTACTTAATCTTTCGGCATGAAGGTCTTCATATGCAGTAGAGAATTCTTTAGTCAAGAATTCTTCTTCATCTTCTGGGGATGAGTAAAAATAGTCTTCATCAGAGTCAACACTGAAGCTAGAATCTCTAGTACGAGATGGAGCTGGTTTTTGAAATGCAGTAGGTAGCTCTGAAGATACCGCTTCTGAAAGTTTCTGATCGAGATCTGGAAGATCACTGTGATCATCCATAAGAAATTGTGTAGTGTTATACGGTGCTGGTGGTTGTCTACCAGTTTTTGCTAATCGACCTCTAGATCTATATCTTAACTGTTGTTGATATAATTGCTGCTTCGAATACGGCTTCAATTTTCTATGTTTAGGTTTACCTCTACGAGTTTTTCTCTTTTTTGCTGCAATATCAATTCCATCTTCATGTTGGCCTCCCTCTTGTTCTCCACTACCACTGCCACTTTCACACTTTCCAGAACTTTTTGTTAATTTAGTACACTGAAATAAAAAAATTTGAGTTAGTCATGTATATTTAATCTACTCTATTAACAAAGAATGAAAAAAATTTAATAAATATAATTTAGATATATTATAATAATGTATTATAACAAGGTGACCATCCATAACTGCAAAACTTGTTTGTACTACTTTTATATTGCATTTAGAACATGGGTATTTGTGTTTCCTATTTAGAAGAAATCTGTATAATAAGCAAAATTATTCAATATTTCAGCCACTTCAAATTATTCTGTACAATTCTTCGTAGAATAAACATTGATGCTGAAAGAGTGTTTTCATTAACTTTGATAGTAAATGCTATCAGCTGTGATTTAAATGTCTTAGAGGTAAATAGAATTCTAAAAAATATATATTAAAAATCAAAACAAAAGTTATTCAATTTAAAATAAGGAATAACTAAACTAAACTGAATATAGTTGAATAATTTTTTATGCGGAGTAAATTTTTAAAACCATTTAAATCCAAGTTTTAACTGAAAAAGTTTGGTCATCTTAATTATGATAGATTTCGAACAAAATAATTTTGTAATTTACCATATAAAAAAAGTAAGATTACGATATTGATTAATGTTTAGAATTTTTAATTGTGTACAAATCAAGAATACTAAATATATTGAAATAAAACAAATTCTGTATCTTACAATTTTCTCATTGATACAGTCAGTTTTGTTGATATTTTCACCAATAGGGAGCGGCACTTGTTTCGAAGCTGGCAACGATGACGCCGCAGGCGTCGGCTCTGCTTGTACGCCCTTCACGTCACGTACCTCATCAATGTCATCTGACACTTTCTCCATCACGGTTTTGACATTATGACTTTCCATATTTGTAATATTGACTAAAATTCGGCTATTTACAGCGGTACAAGCACTCATTACCGTTAAAAACACTGCCTCATCCACCGATATTCTTCACTCCCGCTTTACGAACCGTACGCCTTCACCGCAAACAGCGACTGAATCGCCATGTTTGATTTATCCGTGATTCCGTGCGATAGCAAAGCGCGACGTGCTAACGTTTCAGAGGAGTAGGGACATTTGCTCCGAGAGGTGGGGTGAATGTATTTGTCCCTACCGAACCACACCACTCTTGCTTATCCTTCAGGCCTTACTCCCTGAAAGACCATGGTGGACTTTCCTTGCAGGCTGTCGAGCACGGTAGGCTCCTTTGAGAAAAATGACGATGTAGGGGAAGAAGGCCCCACCACTCGGGTGTAAATATTTACTCCAAAAATGTTATCTAATATTAATATGTTTTATTTATGTATTAAATTTTATAATGTTTAGCATCTACAAATAATATTAGCCTCTTCCAAGTTGAGTATTTTTTAAATTAGTATTGTAGAAGAATTATACACGTTTCTAAAACCATCGATATTCAAATACCGGTAGAATTTGTATTCAGATGTTTGAATGGAAATAAAATAAAATTTTGAAATTCAACTATTCGAATATCAGCAGAATTTAGATCTCGGGTGTTCGAATTACATATACTAATAAAGAAATGCGAAACGTGATGTGTGTTATATCGAGACATATGTTCTTCAATTCCTAAATCCCTATATTCCTAGATTCTTATGCGTCTACATCCCTAGTGAACGTAGTATTTGATAATTCTACAGTATTGCAGTAAGTGGTGGGACTCTTCTTTTCTACTATGTTCGATATAGTACACATTGCTACTTTATCGGTGTTAATAAAATTTCATGTTTTTTAGGTGAAACAAACGACGATAACGATGAACATACGGTAAGCACGTTGCTTTACACAATACCTTTCGAATATCTCTGGGATCATTACTTATGCGTTCGTAATATAATTCGTATCGATTTGATTAAATTATCAATAATTTTACATAATTTAATGATCGAACTTTTGTATCAACAAATAATCAGTATGTGTATAAACAAAATATTTTATTACAAGCTAAGATATATTGTTTATTGTACGTTTTTATGGTGTTACTTATTACATAATTTGTAACTCGAGCTTGAAATATAATACTTTACCTAATGATTGAAGTATACAATACATTTTTATATATCTCCGCAAAGTATCTAAACAGAAACTAATTCTAGCGATGTTCGATCGGTAAGATCAGTTTGTTGCGGACACATACGTAGAAAGCAGCCTTCTCACAAAACTACTGATACCTGATTAGAACTAATGTTTTCGTGCAGCAGTTAAAACTTAAACTTTGTCCCGGTTGCAGGTTGTATGTAAATACATATCTATATGATGTACGAGATAAATATGTTATTCAATTATAACGCAGTTTAGTTTCTGCTTTCATTTGTGAAGTTTTCAACATCCAAAGCATTTGCAATATAAATAAAAGTTTATATATTAATTTGAGAAAATAGAAATACTTTTATCGTAATTAAAACATGTATATATACGTAATTATTAATTTATCATAATCGAAAAGAAGTGTAACGGGTTTGTTATATTTTAATAAAGCAAAATAAGATGTACGAAAGTTTATAGTTTAGAAAAAACACATATGTAGACGTAAGGCAAAACGATGTAGTTAAATTGTTTGCTAAACCGAGGTGCCCACTGTGTTTAGTGTACAATACATATACAACGACCTACTTTACACGTAGTTACATATAATTGTATTATGGCTTATTATACGCACTCAATTTCATACCTGCAATTGGATAGCTACACTCGGATTTCCTTTCACGTATATCATAGACAATATCTTTCGTAATTAATATACAATTCGCAACGTAAAAATCTCATTTACATTATCGCTTCCAAAGAGCGGAACGATACAGTTATACGAAGTTATTGTTGACATCTATGCAGTCAGGAACTTGATACTTTTTCTCTTCAAATACGATTCGAGATAAACTAAAGTTTTTCGATGCCCGTGACCGTGCTTCTTGCAACATTGCTGCAGGTTACACGCGCACGATCAAATTAGTAATGGTAGAGTAGCGATCAGCAAACATCGAGCATAGAAATAGAAATTTAGTAATGTTAATTTAATGATATCTCGTCGTTCCAGTCAAGCGACACTTACCACGAGGGCAAGAAAAAAAACGTTAACTTTTGTACTTTGAGTATGGACACAAGAAAATACTTACCAATTTTACCAATGATTTTCTTTGTTCGCTCAATGTAAGTATCGATCATAATTAACTGCAATAAATAATTGACTGCAATAACAGAAATGGTACAATACTTGTAAACGGTTTGATGCGTCTTTGGTGTTCAACAGAAATATCGATCAAAGCCGATGAGCTTCTGTTGTGTAATTTAAAATAATAAACTTTCGTGCTCGGTGAATGGGTAAGAGGAAATAATTCGTCTATCTTTCATGTAGATATTGATCTTGGTCATATATTTATAACTTTGCATGCATTCGACCTGTTTTACCACTTTAGAGATAAATGTAAAGGAATGGTGTTAAAACAAATGTTTATTATTTCAGACACACGTGTTTTCTCTTTTTAAACGCATAGTAATGTTAACGCGATTAAAAATTGTTATGCATTTATAAAAAAAGAAGAAATACCAGTGACTGAAAACATAGATGATAAAGACTGAGATTTATTAGCGGTAATTAAACCCGATTCCATTTGCCGTCCTTTAAATAAAACGGACGTTACACTGTTGTGCTTTTTACGAAAACGACCGCTGAATGATTGTAGATGTTTAAGCAAACGTATTATCAACATAACGTACACATATTGTGTAAGACGGTATATGCAATAGAATATATACACTACTAATTTAAGAAGGGAATAACATACGTGACTAGCGCAACCAGAACCGTAGCTACAGTTTACAAAGCCCTGAGCAAAAATTATTTTCAACGTTGCCACTGAGTGAGATTACTGATAGATGTCGATTTGTGAAGTAATTAGTAAGTCCTTCGACAGTAAACCTATAAATTTGTATATTTCAGCGCACAGTCTAAAGTCTGTGTTTTCGGCGCAAGTGCTCAATCCGTGTTGGTTAGTGTTAACGACGCTACTGAGTGCAACTATAAATACGTTCTCTATGTAGGAGACTCCTGCATCATCATTCTTAAAGACCTTTTTCTTGAAATATGAATTCGTTTTACTCAAATTGATCAATATGTATTTTTACAGATTTTCTATTAGAATGAATTACATAGGTAATAATCTTCGTCACGGTACGGCGAGGTCGTTAAACTTTTCAAAAACCAATCACGAAATTTCACCGATAAAATAACAGTTTAGAGAGGATAACAGACTGTTCGAGAAAACGTTGAAATCCATTATGATTGTGAAATCCTAGAACAAAATAATACGACCCTGGGAATTCAACTTCAAGTGCCACTTGACAAGGTTGCATTTACAACTTCGCTATTTCGAGATAAGGACTATAGTGTTATTTAAAAAAAAAATAGAAACAAGTATGTAATGTCAAGTCTTGAGGAATAAATTTTTATGAACCAACCTTATTTGCAATGTATTTTCAAAAATCCCAAAGTTCAATAGTTTAAACATCCAAATTTAGAAATTTAAAAATTTTCAAAATTTCAAAATTGTATAGTCTCAAATACTAAGCTTATCGTAGTCGAACTAATGACTATTCGTTTCAATATTTTCAATGTAATCTGGCACAAAAAATGGCGCTTAAAAATGCACTTTGATTGTCCGAGCGAAAAATGAATTTCAAGTTTGCGTCGTACGGTCCTGAAAAAGGCTCGAGCTTATCTACTCGAAACTCTTGTTTCGGTCTTCGAATTTCACGTTCCTTTACATGACTGATTTACAACTGCACTATATCCCCCAGATCGATTATACGTATCTTAATTTGGCTTTTACTATTCGACAATAAGAATCAAAAAGTCATCGTTACAAAAATATATTAAATGAATAGTAAAGTGTTCGAGATGTATAGTTTGAAACGATGAGATTGGTGTAATAATAATCCAAAGTATAGTGAATACACGTAAATGCGCTATGCACATACTATATGTTTCTGTTTCAAACCTACTTTCCGACAGAACTCTCTCGATGTATATAAATGTATCTTAATGTATGAAACGTAGAATATTTTTTAGTTAATTACTGCGTGTTATACCTGTAGATAAATTATGCAATCCTGATTCCTTTCAGTCGTATTAAAAATCGATTTTTTCATTTCCCATGTCAAGTAACTTAAATTTAAGGACATAATTAATCTTCGTCACGGTACGGCGAGGTCGTTAAACTTTTCAAAAACCAATCACGAAATTTCACCGATAAAATAACAGTTTAGAGAGGATAACAGACTGTTCGAGAAAACGTTGAAATCCATTATGATTGTGAAATCCTAGAACAAAATAATACGACCCTGGGAATTCAACTTCAAGTGCCACTTGACAAGGTTGCATTTACAACTTCGCTATTTCGAGATAAGGACTATAGTGTTATTTAAAAAAAAAATAGAAACAAGTATGTAATGTCAAGTCTTGAGGAATAAATTTTTATGAACCAACCTTATTTGCAATGTATTTTCAAAAATCCCAAAGTTCAATAGTTTAAACATCCAAATTTAGAAATTTAAAAATTTTCAAAATTTCAAAATTGTATAGTCTCAAATACTAAGCTTATCGTAGTCGAACTAATGACTATTCGTTTCAATATTTTCAATGTAATCTGGCACAAAAAATGGCGCTTAAAAATGCACTTTGATTGTCCGAGCGAAAAATGAATTTCAAGTTTGCGTCGTACGGTCCTGAAAAAGGCTCGAGCTTATCTACTCGAAACTCTTGTTTCGGTCTTCGAATTTCACGTTCCTTTACATGACTGATTTACAACTGCACTATATCCCCCAGATCGATTATACGTATCTTAATTTGGCTTTTACTATTCGACAATAAGAATCAAAAAGTCATCGTTACAAAAATATATTAAATGAATAGTAAAGTGTTCGAGATGTATAGTTTGAAACGATGAGATTGGTGTAATAATAATCCAAAGTATAGTGAATACACGTAAATGCGCTATGCACATACTATATGTTTCTGTTTCAAACCTACTTTCCGACAGAACTCTCTCGATGTATATAAATGTATCTTAATGTATGAAACGTAGAATATTTTTTAGTTAATTACTGCGTGTTATACCTGTAGATAAATTATGCAATCCTGATTCCTTTCAGTCGTATTAAAAATCGATTTTTTCATTTCCCATGTCAAGTAACTTAAATTTAAGGACATAATTATAATTATAAGTAACCATTAAGCATAATATATATATATATATATATATCTTTCTGCATTTCAATATAATGTAACCATTCTAACATGTATATTTAGTGTATCACATTAACTAACTGAATAAAAAATGTAATTACAAACTTGTTTATCTTGTTCTAATCGATAAGGAAAAAATAATAATTTTTTTTTTTAACAAATATTTTATTTTGTATTTGAAGTTTTTGCGTTAATATAAAAAAAGCATCAATTTTGCGGTTCATATAAATTTCGTAAAAAACATTTGCTCTATAATTATGACGAGAAAATGTTTTCCGTATTTAAGGAAATTATCAAGGTATAAAAGAAGTGATTATTCCTTATGTAATGTACGTGTAAATATACTGAATCATAATACGCTTAAGGTCAACAACCAGTTGCACAATAATAAAAAATTTAAAGAAGATTTCTACGTGATATATGTATAGAGACATATATTCATTTTATTTTAAGTGAAGATAGCGATTAAAAACCTATTATTATTTAATAACGAAGGACATGAAATTTTTATTATTGCACGAAAGATATAAATTATTTATTCATTTAATTAAAATGTTATACACACTAAATGGATTTTATAAAGTCACCTTAATTTCCGTCATTATATCATTTTACAAGTTATTTATTACATTATTTTGTACAGTTCTACTATAAAAAATATAACAAATATCACTATATCCCTAAATTAAGTCTGTAATATATTACATAAGAAAGTTTTAGGCACATGCACATATAACATATAAAGTTACCTTTGTAGATAAATAGATATATATAAAAAAAAAAAAAAAATAAAAAAAAAGAACAAAATAAATATCATTTCCACGTACAATTCTTCTTAAAATATACATGCAAGTGCACGGAAATATATAAGATACTTAAAAAATAATATTTAAAATATTAAGATAAAATCTGTTCAATGAATGTCAATAACTATTTATAATTATATTAGAAATTTAGTTAATAATTGTGATCAATTTATTCAATCACAAGTTCATACTCGTCCACTTCATTAAATGATTTGTTAATACTATCAACCCACTCCATTAGCCTGTTTTCTTGTTCTGCTTTCATTTTATTACCTTTTTTCCGCTTTGATTCAGGTTCAAATTCCAAGTCTTCTTCTTCTTCATGATCAGTTTCATCTGATAAATTGAATTTCACTGCTCGTTTACGTTTGTATGAATATCGTGGAGGCTACAATATATAAATATAGTACAGTACATACATATAAATACAGATAATAGTTACTAAAATTTAATTTGAAATTCCGAAAAAATTACCTGTTTAAAGTGAGTTGGTTCGCAATCAGCGAATAGTGGAACTTCTGGTATATTTTCCGAAACAGATTCATCCATTTCGGAAAAAACATCAAATGTATCAGAAAAATTTATAATATCTATTTTAGTTTTCTTATTTTCTTTGATAGGCGATTTTTTTGCAATTAATTTTTTGGTTTCTACATTTTGTTCTTTTCTTACATCATCTTTTAATTTATTACTCAGTAATTTGTATTTTATTTCACCGATTGATAATCTTGCTAAAGGTCTGTTGTTATTTTCTAAGTTCGTTTGAATGGCATTGTCCTGTTTTTCTTTGTCATTTGTATTTTTACATTCAATAAGCAGTACATCCTGATTAGAATCTTCTTCATCAAAACCAAATGCATTTTTTAAATCTGTAACGGATTTGTTCATCTTTCTATCTGATTTGCTACTGATTGGTGTTGAACATACATCATCAAAAATTCTATGAGGTGTTTTAATTACAGTACTTTGTGGCATCTCTGCTATGTTCAAAAAATTATTTAAATTCGATTGCCTCAATACTCTTAAATTATTAGAACTTAAACGATTCTGTAAGCCTGATGGTCCAGGTTGAGGATCCATATTTTCCTTCTGTTCATCCATTTGTACACGTAATGCACTTTTCTTAGGGCTTTGAGATTTAATTTTTTTCTTTTTAAAAACTTTTTTACTTAAATAATTTGTCGTATTATTTTCTTTACTCTTTCTATTCTCCTTATTTTCTTTATTCTCTTTATTCTCCCTATTTTCATGATTTTCATGATTTTCATTATTTTCATTACTTTCATTAGTGCCAGAGCTAAATGTATTATTTATGCTGAAGTTAATCATGCTGGGTGATTGTATGGTTGATGGCTGTATGTTTTCAACATCACTTGTTACCAATTCATTTATACTTTCTCCTAAATTAGACTGTAAAGACTGATTCATGTTTGTAATTTCTGTTCCAAATTTTCTTGACACCAATGGAGTTTTCTTTTTTAAATTAATAGTATTTACATGTCCTTCTGCACTTATATTTTCATTATTTCTTTTTAAAATTTTTGTGTTTATTGTATCAACATATGATTTGGTTTCATTATTTAAAGTTCTTACAAACCTATTACTAGCAATATCAAACTTTCTATTTTGTGGTGTACTTTGGAATACATTATTTACCTGTGAAAACGCAAATAATGGTGGTAACCTCCATGGACTAGCAATGTCTGAATCCTCTGATAATTTCTTGATTGGTGATAAAGATTTTCCAAACAGCGAACGATTAAACATGTTCTTTTGTGGTACCGCAAATTCATTCTTAAAAACGTTTGTTGGTCTAAATGGCCGAAAATCGTTTGAATTTGATATTTGCGAATTATTCATTATTGTAATCTTTTTATTATTTAACTCTTCTACTGATACAACTGTTGGTTTTGTAATATTATTATTCTCTACTTCCTCTTCATTTATATTTCCTTCCGTTTTATGAATATCTGTTTCTGTATGCAAATTGTCTTTTGATACAGGTTCAGTCACAGGTTCTACTGAAACCTTGTTTTCTTTAGACTCTGCAGAATCCTTTTCTGTTACTTTTTTATTATTTTTCTCCTCCTTTTTTTCTTCAAGTTCGTTAACTTCTTTAACCTGAAATTTATCTGGCGCCTTCTTATCAATTTTTGTTTTTTGTACATTATTATTTACACGAATATTTTTCTTTTTTTTACTTAAAAATGCTTTCTTAAGAATAAGCTTTTTCTTACGTTTTTTAGGTACCTTTTCTGCAGAATCATTAGCATCAAATTTGAACTCGTAAATCTCATTACTATTTTCTTTAGAACTTTCAAGCAGAACACATTTATAAACTGGTAATCTTTTATTACTTACATTCAATTTGTTTTCTAATATAATACTACAATCTTTTAAATTAAAAGGATTATCTCCTTTTGTTGATGTTAAATCATTTTTGTGCACTTTAGCATTTTTAAAAGAACGCAACACTCTCATCTTTGATTGATTCATGAAGGATTCTTTTAACGACATTTGTCGCTTGTTAGAGATATTTTCACTTATCTCATTCCTACTGTTTTGTCTCTTAATATCTTCTGTCTTATTTCTATCTAAATTACTGGAATTATTAAATGTTACAGTTTTTGCAGCTATGATTCTATTATTATTAGTAGTCTCTTTAGATCGCTGTTTACATTCCTTATTTTTCTGGTTTTGTTTTTCAGCAGTTTCTTTATCCTGTGAAACTGATACAATGGTTTTTTTCTTAGATGATGCATTTCTTGTTTGCATTATGGATCTTGTACTAGTTACTTTACTTCCAGTCTTTGTTTTTGCCATTTTATGTGACATTCCTTATTTCAGCTGTTATCGGTGAACATGTTACATGATGTAACATTTAAATCTAAAACAAGATATATAAAGTTGTTAAATTAAGTTAAATTTACAAGTTTTAAATTAACATTAATAGCAGTGACTATTGTTAATCTGTAGCCGTTAATCTATTGCTAATGTTAATAGACACAATTAACTTAAACAAACCATACAATTACAAAATTTCTAGAACTTTCTACATTATGGAAAAATGTATTTATCTATCATTTATTTTCTACAGAGCAAATAAATAATAACTAACCAATGTTAACGATATTTTCATTGCCTAAAATTTCACTTTTAAATAAATGAATCCAATTTCCGTAACATATGAAGCACCAGAAATATATTTCCTTAATTTAGTTAAAGAACTTTTTTCTGTTATAGGTAATATTTACCTAAAGCAGTCAGTGTTTTTTATAGTGCACTTGTTTTATAAAATATAAAACGAATAAATCGTAGTAAGTCAAAACAGTGTTACTTTTACGACGTAAATAAAACCGGTTAAAAACTGTCCATATGTGATTATATGTATAGTAGATTGAGAACTGTGTAGCAAATTGTGCATTATAGATGGCAGTTGGCACTTTAGTAGACCCCACTAATTATATACGGCTTTGCACCGTTACTCATAATACACGGAGGACAAAAGTATATAAATAGTATAACAAAAAAAAATAATGTATTTTAAAGTATACTAAATAAAAGACTACTAAGTATATTATCTCGAATAAAGAATATGTTCTCCCGTTAAATGAATTACGCTCCGAAGTGATCAACAAAACGAAAAAGCGTAAATGCGTCATATCTATAATCACTTCATTCTATGTTCAGATATTGAAGAGTTTGCCGCCAAAGTTGCGATATTAGACAAATACCTACATTTTATAAAAGCGTATAAAAGTAATAAAACTTTAATTTGAAACAATGGAAGGATTTGATGATCCAGGAATATTTTTCTCTGATAATTTTTCTGTAGGTGAATCGAATGAAAGCCAAGTTAATCTTCAATTTTCAAAAAAGAAATTTATGGAATTTATTAGACAATTTCATGAAGGCAATTTTAATTATAAATATAGGTAATCACATAAAATATTGAAAGTTATTAATTCTTGTTAATTAGTAATAATTGTATAATATCTTTGCAGTTAATAATGTAATATCTTTCTAGAGATACCTTAAAACGCAATTATAATCTTGGCCAATATTGGGTAGAGATAAGTTTAGAAGATTTAGCAGCATTCGATGAATCACTTGCAGAAAAAGTTTATAAACATCCAACAGACTATTTACCAATTTTAGAGGAAGCTGCAAAAGATTTAGCGGATGAGCTCACAGCTCCCAGACCTGAAGGCGAAGAAAAAATTCAAGATATACAAGTATTGTTATCTTCAGATGCACATGCAAGTTCCTTAAGAGGAATGAAAGTAAGATTCATTGTTAATATAGAAAAACCTATATTTTTAATGTGTTCAATGTAATTTTATAATTTTCTTTTTAAGCCTGATGCAGTTTCAAAACTTATAAAGATACCTGGTATTGTCATATCAGCGTCTGGAATCAGAGCAAAGGCAACAAAAATTGCAATACAATGTCGTTCTTGTAGAAACATACAAACTAACATTTCTATTAAACCTGGCTTAGAGGGCTATGTTTTACCCAGGAGATGTACAACTGAACAAGCTGGTCGACCAAAATGTCCATTGGATCCATTTTTCATAATGCCAGATAAATGTCATTGTGTTGATTTCCAAGTTCTTAAGCTACAAGAGTTACCAGATCAGATTCCACAGGGAGAAATGCCAAGACATTTACAATTATATTGTGATCGTTATTTATGTGATAAAGTTGTACCAGGAAATAGAGTTCTTATATTGGGAATATATTCTATCAAAAAAGTTTCTAGAACTGGTGGTAGAAGTGCAAGGAAAGAAAAAACATTAGTCGGTGTACGAGCACCCTACATAAGAGTTGTCGGAATTTCTGTAGATGGAGAAAATACAGGCAGTGGTACATTATAAATTAAATTTGGAAAATCAATATAATTTATTTAAAATACTTTTACTTACTTTTTTATTATTTTCAGGCACTCATCCAAGTGTTACAAATGAAGAAGAAGATTTATTTAGACGTTTAGCAGCAGATCCTAACTTATATGAAAGAATTGCTAAAAGTATAGCTCCCAGTATTTTTGGTGCATTAGATATTAAAAAAGCTATAGCATGTTTATTGTTCAGTGGATCCAGGAAAAGAATGCCAGATGGTCTTTGCAGAAGAGGAGACATTAATATTTTGATGTTAGGTGATCCAGGTACAGCTAAATCACAGTTATTAAAGTTTGTAGAAAGAGTTGCACCTATCGCAGTTTATACATCTGGAAAAGGAAGTTCAGCTGCTGGCTTAACAGCATCGGTCTTAAGAGATCCAGTGACAGTAAGTTACTACTATTTTTACTTTTAATGTAATGTATACAAACATATTTATGAAGATGTTCTATTAATTCATAGAGAAATTTTGTCATGGAAGGAGGAGCCATGGTTCTCGCAGATGATGGCGTCGTTTGCATAGATGAATTTGATAAAATGAAAGAAGACGACAGAGTTGCAATACATGAAGCTATGGAACAACAAACAATATCCATTGCGAAAGCGGGAATAACTACAACACTGAATACTCGTTGTTCCGTTTTAGCTGCAGCAAACTCAATATTTGGTCGTTGGGATGATATAAAAGGAGAAGAAAATATCGACTTTATGCCAACAATTTTATCGCGTTTCGATATGATATTTATTGTTAAAGATGAACACGAGCACACTAAAGACATAATGTTAGCCAAACACGTGATGAATATTCACACCAATGCTACTCAAGTTACGGATCAATCTGCTGAAGGAGAGTTACCATTGCATGTTTTGAAGAAATATATTCACTACTGTAGAACGTAAGGCTTTGCAATGTTGTTTTTATATACTTTTTTATTCTCAATTAATATTTATACTTTTTGAAGGCGGTGTGGTCCACGACTTAGTAAAGAGGCGGGAGAAAAATTAAAAAATCGTTACGTCGTAATGCGAGCTAGTACAAGGGAACACGAGAAAGATACCGAGAAAAGATTGTCTATCCCTATAACAGTTCGTCAATTGGAAGCTGTTATAAGAATTTCAGAAGCTTTAGCTAAAATGAAATTACAGTCTTTTGCCACAGAAGTTCACGTAAATGAAGCACTTCGACTCTTCCAAGTTTCCACTTTAGATGCTGCAATGTCTGGGTCATTAGCTGGTAATCTAAAATTTTGTTATTATGTTACTATTATATTTATACATAAACACTAAACACACTTGAAAAATAGGTGCAGAAGGATTTACCTCGGATGAAGATCATGAAATGTTATCTCGTATTGAGAAACAATTAAAACGAAGATTTCCTATTGGAAATCAAGTATCAGAACAAAATATTGTTAAAGATTTTATAAAGCAAGGCTATCCGGAACGTGCCATTTACAAAGTTATATACACAATGATACGCCGTGGAGAACTCCAACATCGTATGCAACGTAAAATGTTATACCGATTACTATAGATTATTATAGATTGGAACGTAACATATTTCTTTCCATTTTATGTTGTGCATTTATTCATGTATTTTTCATTTTGTACTTCATTTCTTAATTCGCAATATATAAATATACGCTTACTCAAACTACATATTAATAACGTTCTAATTAGGATTGTAATTCGTCTTTGAATGGATAATGCGGATGCTTTTCAACGCTAAAAGAAAATAGTTTTGTACAATTATGAAATACAGACTTTTTTTTTAATATACTTACCCTTTGAAAAATAGAAAATTAAAAATTCTTCCATAATGATCCTTATCTAAGGTTTTTAGGAGTTCCATTTCTTCTTTGTTTAATGTAAAATCAAACAAATCAATATTCGCTTTAATTCTTTCTGGAGATGAACTTTTTGGAATTACAACAACACCTAATTGTAATAGAAAACGCAGTAAAATTTGTGCCGGTGAACGTTTGTGTTCTGTACTTATTTTTTGTACTATTGGATGTCCCAAAAGATCTGGAAAATCTTCAACGTTATGATTGTATTTTGTTTTAAAATGTTTTTTTGCTCCTGGTGATGCCAAGGGACTGTACGCAGTTACAATAATATTGTGCATTTGGCACAACTTTCTGAGTGAATTTTGTTGTAGGTAAGCATGTAATTCTACCTAACAATACAAATTTTATTAACATAACATTCTTGATATATATTCTTCATGCAAATATCTTTGCATCATCTTTAATTAAAACTTACTTGTAAGTTACTTGGTTTAATTTGTGCATTCTCCCATACGTTTAAAATTTGTTTTTCATTAAAATTACTTAGACCTATGGATCTTGCTCTACCTTTTCTTACTTGTTCTTCCATTTCCTAACAATAAATTTGAAACAGATTATTACAATTGTAGTTTATTATATTATTAGTTAATACTGTTATGATTTTGAACCTTCCAGACTGAAACAGGATCCGTGTCAAAGTCTAGAATGTAACTTCCATCTTCATTAGTCGCTGGAGTACAAGTACTTTCATTTAATTTAAAAGCAAAAGGCATGTGAATTAAGTACATATCCAAATAATCCAAACCAAGTTTCTTCAGCGATAAAGTAATAAATTTTTCTACGTCTGATGGTCGATTACCATAATTCGGTAACTAATAAAATAATAAAATATTCAATAATTTCGTGCACAAAATTTTTGGAAAATTTAAAGTAAAAATACCTTTGAAGTTACAAACAGATCTTCGCGCTTTCCACCTTCTGCAAACCATTTTTTTAATACAGTTCCAATTGCCTCTTCATTGTTATAATTGAATGCAGTGTCGATGTGTCTGTAACCAACGTTTAAAGCGGTTGACACAGCACTTTCAATTTCTTCTGGTTTAGCCTGCATTAAGTATAACAAAATTTTGTAATCGGAAATAGCAATTCTGATTTCAGTTTTATGTATCATCACATTACCTGCCATGTACCTAAACCAACAGTTGGCATATCATATCCTGACAGTAACTTTACTGTATGCATAATTCTTTGCCTTAAATGATTTGATACTGCAAAACATAATAGCAACTATTTAGAAGATTGTATAACACAAATTTATACAATAACATTGTTTGTAAATTATTGTAACAACATTTAACATTACCATAAATTGTTATCTTTTGTTAAATGACAATTACTTGATTTGTGAAAATATAATTTCGGTACAAAATCAATTTCTAAAGTTAGATCAAACTTGTACTGTTCTAAATACATAAGTCCACATCAGTCTACATTTGACAGAAAGATTGCTAGACGTTTCTCGCGAAGACGCGTATTGATCTGTAGTGTTTTATAGATTACATCAATCGAAATGGGTCAGAGAAAATCATTATTTAAGCAATAATTCATTTTTGAAGATATTTTAAAATTAAAATACTTTAAAAGACGATTTGATGTACAAATATAATGATTTAAATCGACCGGTTATTTTATATGCCCACGGTGGGTCTATAATATTAAAATTGTACAAAATATTTAAAATAAATATTTAAATTTGAAGTAATAAACTCTTAATATTAATAACGTACGCAATGGTTTAACTCCTTGTCGTTGTTGACTTGTTACAGAAAAACAATTGACAAATTGATATTTTGTACATTGGTTTGCTTGTATGTAAAAGCACCAACGACATTTGAGCATGTTCATTAGAATCATAATAAATTGTAAGAAAAATGTAACGAATTGAACATATAATAGTATACGAAAGTAAATGAAATCTTATAAATGTTATAAGGGATGCGTAAAATTGCCTTCGCGCGTTTCATTAATTTGAACTGTGTTGTCGCAATGATTTTATCGATATTACTTTAATCGATATATAGTATTGAATATTTTCAACTTTCACAATTATAATTTTATAACATAACAATATATTGCAAATAATATTTAAATATAATATAAACGAGTATATTGATAAAATAAATTATTTGGATATTTAATATTCAATATTCCTTTGAAAAATGAAATTTGATTATGTATATACTATATAGTTGGTAACAGTGTATATCAGTTAAATACAGCGCACTCCAAATTACCACTGTTTGAATGAGTGATTTGTGTTTGATTACATTCGACAAAACATGAGAACTTTTTTATGTCTATTTGTAGTTTACAGACAAAGAATTCTGTTATAATTTATAACTGAATAATTCATAGTATCGAAGTTGAAATATGTTAATTTACGATGTTTTACATAAAGAAGCTGTATACAACTCAATCGTCAACGACCTTCGAAACTATGGGGTTAAATATCGATTTAAAAAGAATATGTTTAAAACTGAAAGACTTGAAGGAACTAAACAAATTTCGAAAAAAGTTTTCAAAACTTCTTTATCTTATCAACCATTGGATGTGGTAAATTTATCTTCAGGTGGCATTGTGCATGTACCAGTTTTCCTTAGTCAAGCAACTGCATTCTTAGAAAAATTTATTACTCAAGAAGGATTATTTAGAAAAGCAGGTTCACAATTGCGACAAAAGGAATTAATGATCTGTTTAGATAATGGTGGTATACTAGGAGAAAAACATCATGCGATCGATGTAGCTAATTGTTTAAAAACTTTCTTTAGAGATTTACCAGAACCATTAATCCCGTACATGTATCATGATTTATTTATACACTGTGCAATGCTCAAAGCATTTCGTATACAAGCATTGTTATTAGCTTGCATTCTTTTACCACCGCATCATCTTAATACATTGGCATTTTTCATGGAATTTTTGAAAAAAGTATCTCTATACGAAAAGCAAAATAAAATGAACATTGATAACTTGGCTAAAGTTATTGGACCAAATATTATGCCTTTGCAAGAAGTAACTATGTCTGCTGTGCGAACACGTTTGGAATTACACTTAGTTATTGTTAAAGTAATGCATTTGTTTCAATACAATTATAAATTTTCAATTAAAGTTATTAATTTATTATGCTTAATAAATATTGTAGATTTTAATTGAAAATGCAGACAATATTGGTGTTTTACCAGATCATATAATGCAAGCATTTTCTATGGAAACAATTGGGAGTATGGATAATGAATTAAATGTGTCTGATAGTCATACACATTCAAAGACAAGAAAAAAGAAACACCGCAGTGGAAGTCTTACACGTAAGCCACATCTAAGTGCCTCCAATCTCAATCTAAGTATGTCTGCGAATCTGTTCATAGTAATTTTTTTCTAGTTGCCATTTAAATTTCATGATAATAACCACCAATGAAGTTTTGTATATTGCATTAACAAATATATTATTTCATTGCTTTATTAACTTAATTACTAATATAAAAGAATATACTAACATGTAAATAACTATTAAGAGTTGAATACATTTATTTAGGAGTATTTAATGGTTTAAAAAAGATGGTTGGCAAAAATAGCATGCCTGAAGATGATAATACATCTGATAATCAAAGGGTTCCTGAAAACTGTGATTTGTTGCACACATCAAATACTAAAGGTAGTAAAAAAAGGAAAGTTGACAATTCAGATCCAGCAGCCCCAAAAAAAAAGTATGCCTTTAAACATTTTCTATGTAATTTATAAAATTACTTTACAATATTTACAATTTAATATATTTCATACTTACAATATTTTAGAAGAAATGCAGAAAAAACAGATAAATCTAAAAAAATGAGACTCAGTCTTGATCGTTTTGTACCAAGAAAGCCAGTAAGATTATTTAGATAATTTTATCAATAATTTCTTCACTGTTATTAATATTTTATATAATTTTAGTTTTTATATTTACAGAAAATTAGTGATGAAGATTCTGAATCATATTCGGAACGACGATGGAGTTCTGTCAATGATAAATGTGATTCACAAAGAACACATAGAACATACAGTGATGATTCGTCACAATTAAAATTAATTTTGAAAAATAATGAAACATCGAATGATCTTCATAAAGAGTATAACAATGTTTTTATTGATGCAAACATTAATTTATCAGATAATGACGAGCAGGCCTTGTTAACGAAAGAAAATGATATCGGTAAATCTCATTCACAATTAAACTTACATTCAGAAGAATATAAGTCTTTAAATAACTTTGATCAAGTATATTTATATCCACTTAAGAAAAGAGTTACTGTAAATAATCTAGAAACATATTCACATGTTAAAATCACATCTGTGGATAATGAGTCTGAAGAATATGTTACAATACCTAAAAGCGAATATGAAGAAATTAAGAACAGAGTTTCAGCGATTGAATCTCGTCTTTCTCAAGAGTTTGGATGCATAAATGATGACGAAAAGGATGGTTTGTCACCGCATTCTGTGAAGAAAGTACAAACTGCATATGAGAAAACTTTAGAAGAGGCTAGTATTGAAAGTACAGTAACGACAGATTATTTAGCCAAGAAACTTGGTAAAGAACTGAAAATTAGAAGATCTGGTGAACATAAAATTATTAGATCTCCAAGTGCTCGAAAAATAGGAAATTTGAGAAGAAGATCACAGGAAAGAATGATGAGGTAAATGTTCAATTCTATACATAATTTTTATATTTACTTATTTTGAAGTTTAATTTGACGAAAATTAATTTCATTTATTTTTCATAGTAAACGTGTTAGACGCACTTCTTCATGGCATATTTCCCATGGATCGGATTTACAGTCTAATCAAGAATTGAACAACACTTATCTCCATGATGAAAAATATTTTTCAACGAATTGTATGAAGGATGATAATTGTTTAAAACCCATATCTACTTCTTTTTGGGAAGAAGATAAACATGTAGTATTAAATAATATGCGTAAAAAGTTTAGTGATTCAAATATACATGTCACAACGCACGACCTAAATTATGTTGAAACTGATGTACTTCCAAAAAAAAGTCGAACACATGCGACGGTACGTCGTGTGTCATCTTTCCATGGTAATGAATTTACAAATACAAATAAATATTCAGCTGAAAAAGTTGAAAAATTGAAGAAGACGAACAGTCAGCAAAATATCGTTTTGAATAATACGGCTTCAACTAAATTGACTCCTAAATTTGATTGTTGGAAAGACGTTACGATGCCCTGGAAAGATGCTAAGGGATATTTTACATCGACCAGTCAAACAAATACTCCAGTTACTCAAACTGGTCGTGCATCGATTGCAAAATTAAGAACCCAGAATGCTGGAATGGTTTTAGCTAAGGCTAAATTGTTTGATGAATGTACAACAAAAGTATATGCACAAAACACTATTTTAAACAAAAAAAATGATTTACTAAGTAAAACAAACGATCAATGTCGAAGCAAAGTAAAACAGAATTGTGAAAGAGTCGAGTTAAGTCGAAAGTCAAATAAAAGTATGAAAAATAAAAATCCGAAACATTCATCTTCCGAGATTGTAGGAGAAATAGACAATGCAACGTCAAATTTGAATCAAGAAGGCGATAAATCGTGTTACTACATTTCTCAAAATCCTAATCCAAGAATTGCCACTACACCACGGATAACTAATACGACAAATTATCAAAAAGAAAATATGAACGTAAAGACGCCTCCTTCGGCAAAGAATGGGTCTCCAAATTCAATATTACAGGAATCAAAGCTAAGTATGTACAAAGCTGATAGCAATGCGCTATGTAAAACTCCACATATTAAGAAACCATTAACTGTAAAAACACCTAAAAGTGCCAAAGCACTAATGAGAAAACCTATGTCAGATTCTCGTAGAATACCTTTAAAAGCTGTTGGTCAAGTAGGAACACCGAAATATCAAAGTCCTAAAAGTATTTTGAAAACAAAAATTGCCAACAGATATGCTTAACATTTTTTACAAAATATAATACATAACTTTTATTCTGAAACAGTATTTTTATATACATGCAGTTAAAGTTGACTTATTAAATAATATTTTAATGATACTTTATAATACTATGAAATATAAAATACTGCTGTTGTACATTGTTATTATAAGATTTAGTACAAATTGCTTTATAATAAATATCAAAATTTTAAACACCTGCAAAGATATTTGCTTAAAAATGTTTATACGTTTATATACATTTTTATTCTTACACTTCGTAGTATCAGAGAGATATATATTTACGTATATGAAATAAGTAAAACATGTATATTTTAATTGCAATGCTATATTTGAAATTTGCAAATGTGTGCCATTTAAAGTAGGACTTATAAACGCTACACAAATACAAATATTAACTAAACTAAACAATACATTATAAATTTTATATATATAATATTGCATTTTATATTTTTGTTTAGCATGTATGTAATTTATTTGCAAATACAAAATTGTACACCTTCAGTTTTAATTATACATAAGTACATTATAAAACTACATTTTGTAGAAAATAAAGAAATAAATTAAAAAATGTATTGTCGTATTCCACGTGTATTTACGTACAACCAATTCAATTTGACAATCTGTCCCGTTTGGAACTGTCAAATACGGCTGGCGCGAGCATTTATAGGGCCACGTAACAAGATTGCACGAGGCCAAAAAAAGGATAAATAGTTATGTGCATGTTTCAATTTTTGAAATGCTGACATATGATATTATTCATAGAGTCTTAAAACGTATTATAAAATTTATGAAAATTGAAATTAAAAATTATCCAAATGTGTAATAAATTTTTCACAGACTAGTAGGCTTTATAATACGTGCAGTTGATTTTTAGAGAACGCTTTGAATCCACTTCGCGCCGACCCTGTTGTCAAATAAAAATAATACACGTTTATAACGCGAAATAATTCAACTATGGCATGAAAATAATATACTGGTCGTCAAATAAAATTGTTCTCATTAGCAAGGTAATAAGATATTTGTCAAATTATAACATTTAATAATTAATTTTTGAATAAAATCTGTTTCGATTACAATACGTTTGCTGTTTGCCACTTGATAGTTTTGGATATTCTCGTTATGATAGCAGCGCCTCGTTGATTCTAGTCGAATCTACAGCTGTTGATACGTAAATTGTTGGTGCGAGAAGTGTCAGTGAATATTTTACATTACAAGGAACAGCCTTTGGGCTGAAAAAATAATTTAATAAAAAATGAGGGAAGCTGGAATAATGTTAATAAGTACAGCACTAACATGTGCTGTAATAGGCAATGCTTACTATCAAAGAAAACAATTTTATCCAACAGTAGTTCACATAACCAAATCAAATCCTAGTATGACGGTAAGTTTTGATTCTTCTTTTTTTTCTATAAATTTTTTCTTAACTTCACTAATTAATTAATTCTGGACGAGATAACAATTCTCTTATTTATACTCTTCTATCGAATTTAGGTAATCTATGCACAAGGTTTAATTCTAGTGTTTATGATAAATGCTTTTCTTCGAAAGATATTTTTTGGTACTTTACGTGCTGCTGAACTTGAGGTGTGTAATTAATTTATTATAATTAATTAGAATCTCTGCTGTTTATGAGGTATACAGTTTTGTACTAAGTATTGTTTATTTGTAGCATCTGTTAGAAAAAGTATGGTACGCTGTGACTGAAACTTGTCTAGCATTTACAGTATTCAGAGATGATTTTAGTCCAAAATTCATAGCACTATTCACACTTTTATTATTTTTAAAATCATTTCATTGGCTGGCAGAAGATCGTGTAGATTATGTAAGTAAAATGAATACATAAATCAATATGTGTACTTTATTTATTTATTTATATGACATGTACAGTGCATCATTTTATTTTTCAGATGGAAAGGAGTCCTGTGATAACATGGCTATTTCACATTCGAGTTGGTACATTATTAGGACTTTTATTTGGTATAAACTTAACTATGATTCATTATGCATATAACACAACAGCCACAAAAGGTCCTTCAGTACAGCTTGTATTTGGTTTTGAGTATGCTATTCTTTTAACAGTTGTGTTCAATATTAGCGTAAAGTATATACTGCATACAATAGATCTACAAAGTGAAAATCCGTGGGACAATAAGCCAGTGTTTCTTTTGTACACGGAATTAATAATTGGACTATTAAAGGTAAAGAATATAATCATATCTTTTATTTAGTCTTTTACATGATATCTAAATTTTTTGTCTTCTGTATACAGGTTATTTTATACATTGCTTTTGTCACACTAATGGTAAAATTATATACTTTACCTTTGTTTGCACTTCGTGCAATGTATTACACAATGAGAGACTTTAAAAAAGCTTTCCATGATATTGTAATGTCTCGGCGAGCTATTAGAAACATGAATACCTTATATCCAGATGCAACAGCAGAAGAATTAGCTGCTGCTGATAATGTTTGTATAATATGCAGGTGAGTATAGTATATTATTTTCTTTATGACATTAATTTCAGTAATTTTATATTTCATTGATATTACTATTATAGGGAAGAAATGGTAGCAGCAAGTAAAAAATTGCCATGTAACCATATTTTTCACACTGCTTGTTTACGTTCATGGTTTCAACGTCAACAAACATGTCCCACCTGCCGCTTAAATATTTTAAGACCAGTTAACAATAACCAAGGAAATAGGCAACAAAACCAACCACAAGCAGGGCCACAAGTACCTCAAGCCCCACAAGCACCAGGGTTCAATCCAATTGGTATGTATAGTAATATTTATTCTTTTTTGTATTCGAATATTAAGACAAATTCTGTTAAATATAGTTCAGGTTTTACCAGCATTTTGGGCTGAATTACAAGCTCCAGGAGCAGTTCCTCAGCAACCAGTTCCAGGGGATGCGACGCCGCAACAACAAGCTCAACATGGCAGTTCTGCAAGTACTCCCTCCACATCGTTTCAAAATTTAGCAGCCAATGGAGTACCATTGTTTCCACCACCATTTCCTACTATGGTACCATTACCACCTATTCCTACACCACCACCAAATTTAACTGAACTGAGTGAAGATGAACTTAGAGCAATGGAGGGTAATTTGAGACAAGCTGTTGAAGCTAGAATACAAATGTTACAAAGAGTTCAGCTTTTACTAGATGCCGCCAGTGCAATGATGAATCAGTACCAAACAGCAGCTGCTACTGCTAAGTATGTACAAAATTTAAATGTAAATATTTGGACGAAGTTCTGATTTTCTAATATTTATTGTTACAGCATTCCAGTGCCAACTGCAACAAGTAGTATGAATGTTTCATCGAATGTTTCTTCAATGTCAAAACCAGGAATGTCAAAAGATACAAGTTCTGAAGTTGATAATGAACAACCTCAAGCTAAAACTGAAACGAATGTTCCTACTGTAAATTCTTCCAATGATGTGAATACGTTGTCTGGCACAAGTAGTACTGATGTAAATCCAGAACCATCGGTTAGGAACGACGTGGAATCAAGTGAACAAGAAATGCTTCGGAGACGTAGGCTACAAAAATTCTCAACTTAGCTCGTAACACAGTAAATGTTTATAAGATTATATGATAATTTGTATAATTTGTTAATTAATGACAGGTCTGATTGCAGATGTGAGTGATAAAAAGAGCGTGTAACAATTACGGTCAAGAGCTTGAAATTAAAAATTTACATTGCAATATCAATAATTACGAATGTATGAAATAATCAGTTGAATGAAAAAAATAAAATAATTTTTTTTTTTTTTATTTATGTATATTGTTTTAGAAAAAAATTTACTCATAAACATGAGTAAATTGCAGTTCCAAAAAATTTTGTACGTATTCAAAATTATTTAATTTGTTGTACACCTATATGTATGTACTTTGTACCATGATACAGATTTCTCCAAAATATTTTGCAAGATAATTTTTGTATCGATTAAATTGTTACTGTAATCTACATCTAGAAATTATTCTGGTTTTCTAAATCCCTTAACTTCACATTAAAAATACGACATACAATATTTTATAAGTTTTTATTGTACTATATTCAGGCTATTGTACAAATTTTATGAATTATTACATGTTAGGAATACTTGTTTCTATACATGGGAGAGGTAATGTCAGTCATTATAATATGACTATAAAATAATTGTTTTAGATAATTGTCATTACATGTAATAAATTTATTTGTCTATTTAATAATACTTTTGTTTTCATTATATACATTTGTATAAAAGTTATTTATAATACCATATAAATACATCAATTCATCAATTAAGAATATAGAAGGAACAAGTACAAAATAAATTATATTATCTGTACATTATAAAGTATAACAGTTCTCTCATAAACATAGATTCATTTAATAGGATTGAGGATATAATGACTATAAGGTATTATAATAATAATTTATCATTTTATTTACACGAAAATAACAATTCATGCAAAATTATACAATAAAAATGAATATTAAATTTAAAAATAAAATTTTAATAATAGAAGGGAAATACATGTTTTATTTAGACGTATGTATAAATGTGAACAATTTTTTTATATCAGTTACTAATAAGGAGAAAGCGCAAAAACATAAATAAAAATATCTTTTAAATGAAATTAGATTATCTGTAAAGAATAAAAAAGAAAAATGAAATAAAAATGTAAGTAAATAATTATTCTCATCGACTTTATTGATCAGTCGAAAGATAATTATAACCTTATTTTTCTTTATTAAAAATGCGCAAACTCCCTAATATGTATCAAAGCAATTAGATTTTGTTACACGAATTACTTTTTGTAATTAAAAGTTATTTGGGAAACAACAATATATATTACATCGTACAAATTATGTATGAATTATGCAAATTGCGTATAAAATTAATATATCTATATATAATATTATAATATATATAAATAAATCTTTTATGGAACAATGTGTTTCACTTACTGAATATGCAATCTTTCAATTAAACATTGTAATATTAAATTTTAATCGAAAGACTAATTTTTATAATTCTTACTTCTGTTAAATTCTTCTGGATAATTTAATGTTTGAATTTAATTTTCATTTAATTCGTATTTATTTCACCGAATAATAAATGGGTAACATACTTGTCAGATACATATTATATAAACATGTAGTACAATTATATGTTAATTTTTAATATGACCACATACAGTACAGATTATTGTAAACATACATTATTTACTTAACATAATATAAATTTGTAGCATTAAATTTTATTTCTATCTAAATGTATGTTATATTACTTAACAAGTATCTAGGGTACTAATTTTGCAACTGTTAAATATTATGTACTATTTCGTATTAAATATTGTTGTATAAATGTTTGATATTTAAATACATCTTACTTATATCTGTCATATTACTTAATTCGTCACGCGCAGCAGTTGATTTTTATGTATTTAATCTTTTTTTAAAATGATGTGTACATTACATTAAGGGACGTAATAGTTGATCAAATACAAACTATCATATTACGCGCTAAAATCCTTGAGATACACGAGGCGAACCCCGTAGCGCGTTGTTGTGATCTAACATGGCGGAGTGTAGTGTTGTGGCTGCTCAGTGTCTATGTCAATTTTAGAGTGATTTTGCTTACTGAGAACGAAAGGATTGCGATGGTCGGCAATCGCCGTATTGCAAGAAATTGATTTAAACGGTCGTATACTTACGAGCATTTGTATTACAAGAGGATCGAGTTTAATTCGAGTTTCGTTTGTCGCGGGAACCGTACACAGCGGTGAGAGAGCACGCAGAGTGCCGTCTTCCCAGCAACAAAATTTGCTCCTGACCTTCCACCACAACAAGTTGGCCTTTTCGAGTGATTTGGCGTACAATTAAGATTTCTTCGCATCGCGTATACGCGACACGTGATAACGAAAACTTACACGACGTAAAGTTTTCCCGCGCGTTCTGAGAGGTTTTCTTGGCGCAAGAATCAGGCTTATGCAACGACGAGCGCATAAACATCTATTACGGTAAACAATATCATTCCGTCAACCGAATTCGAAGGCATGTGACGGATTCTCGCCGCTCGTATTTTATCGTTAAAATTTTAGTGACAAAACTTGATATCGTGTAAATTCATTAAATGAGATATTTTATACAATTAGTGGAAAAACCGAGATGATACAATAGGCTGGTGAAGTCTATGAGATTGACACTAATTGTTATCAAAAACAGAGATTCCTTATGGCGTGTTTCTTAATTAACAATAATGTCATTTGTTTGTACAAACAATTAGAAAGGAACAATTGTACATACGTATCGGAACATTAAATGAAACGTATGCTTAAAGGTGCATTTCTCTTGTATAATTAATACCGATATAAAAGCCTTAATGGGTTACAAGGAAGCAATCGACGAATCGATATATGGAGATTTTGGTGCATTTGTCAGTTTATCAGAGAGTTGAGAAACATTTGTGAACACGTTTCAAAAGCCAAAGAAGGGGTAAACGTTTAAGGGATGCTAGGTAGCTGGTGATAATATAGAGCAGTGTGTATAAGTTAATTTTTACAATATGACGGATACACGCAGAAGAGTAAAGTTGTATGCGCTCAATGCTGATAGACAATGGGACGATCGTGGTACGGGTCATGTTTCTTCTTCGTACGTAGATAGATTAAAAGGAATTTCACTTTTGGTCAGAGCAGAGAGCGATGGTTCAGTTTTATTGGAAAGCAGAATACAACCTGACACTGCATATCAGAAGCAACAGGTAATTATTATTGCATGTTACTAATTTTAATTAAATGTTTAATGGGGGGAAAAAAAAAAAAATGTAGTTGCACACGATTTCAATACAATTATCATGCTACAGAAATATTAATAAAGGAAGATTATAGTTTTAATGTAGGAATGTTACGACAACATCTGTCTTTTATTTCAGGACACTTTAATAGTTTGGTCAGAAGGAGATAATTTTGATTTAGCCTTAAGTTTCCAAGAAAAGGCTGGCTGTGATGAGATTTGGGAGAAGATATGTCAAGTTCAAGGAAAAGATCCATCCGTTGAAATCACTCAAGATATCGTCGAAGAGTCAGAAGATGAGCGGTTTGATGATATGTCAGATGCTGCGCCACCCATAGAATTGCCTCCATGTGAATTAAGTCGACTGGAAGATATTAATGAACTTATAGGGAATTGCTTATCTTCTCAGATGAGGAAAGATAAATTAGCACTGGCTTTAGAATCTGAAGGTTATATCAAGAAACTATTAAATCTATTTCATACGTGCGAAGATTTGAAGGACAGTAAAGGATTACATCAACTTTACAATATATTTAAGAATATTTTCCTACTTAACAAGAATACACTGTTTGAAGTTATGTTTAGCGACGATACAATTTTTGATGTTGTTGGGTGTTTGGAATACGAGCCAACATTGCGCGAGCCAAAGAGGCATAGGGAATATCTTCGACAATTAGCCAGATTTAAGCAAGCAATTCCTATTACAAATACTGAATTACTAGCTAAAATTCACCAAACGTATCGAGTTCAATACATTCAGGATGTAGTTTTACCAACTCCAAGTGTATTTGAAGATAATATGTTAAATACATTGAGTAGCTTTATATTTTTTAACAAAGTTGAAATAGTAACCCTGATACAGGATGACGAGAAATTTCTTACTGAATTGTTTCGTCAGTTAACAGATGAGGCAACATCAGATAGCAAGAGACGCGATCTGGTTCTTTTCTTGAAAGAGTTTTGTAATTTTTCGCAGAATCTTCAACCACAAGGGAAGGAGGCCTTTTATAAAACTTTAACAGCACTTGGTATTTTACCTGCTTTAGAAATTACCTTGGCAATGAATGATGCCCAAACAAAAACGGCTAGTATAGATATATTGACATATATAGTGGAATATTCCCCAAGCGTTGTTCGAGATTATACATTGCAACAAATAAATAATACAGAACAGGACCAAATGTTGATAAATGTAATAGTTGCTCAACTCGTCGGCGATAGTGACCCAGAGTTGGGTGGAGCTGTACAATTAGCCGGTGTATTACGCCTGCTACTTGACCCAGAAAATATGTTGGCTTCCGTTAACAAATCAGAAAAGACTGATTTCTTAAATTACTTCTACAAGAATAGTATTGGAACACTAATAGCGCCTCTTTTAGCAAACACGATTGGAGAACGACCAGCAAGAGAGGATTATAGAACAGTACAGCTTTTAGGATTGATTTTAGAGTTACTGTCATTTTGTGTAGAGCATCATACGTACCACATAAAAAATTGCATATTGAACAAAGATCTGCTCAAACGGATACTGGTCTTAATGAAATCAACACACACATTTTTAGTGCTGTGTGCTTTAAGGTTTATGAGAAAAATTGTAGCTTTGAAAGATGAATTTTACAATAGGTACATCATTAAGGGAAATTTATTTGCACCTGTATTTGATGCATTTGTAAGGAACAACGGTAGATATAATCTATTGGATTCTGCTATTCTTGAGATGTTTGAATTTATTAAACTGGTAAGTAATAAATACATATCGTTAACATTCTCTCGAAAATTGGTCGATTTCATATTTTGAATACATATATTTATTGGTTTTATCGTAGGAAGATATTAAATCCCTATGTTCCCACGTTGTTGAAAATTTTTCAAAGGAACTAGAAGCAATCGATTATGTACAAACATTTAAAGCTTTGAAATTAAGGTACGAACAACATCAAGACAAGCTAAAGGATAGAGACAGAGCAGCTCTTGACAGGTAAAGAATATTTTGTTTTTATAAAAACTTTAATAATAATCGAATGTTCTTGTTCGTTTAGCCTAAACGCAATCGTAACATATCGTATTTCTTTTTAAAGTGTTCCATCCATACTGAGAAATAGTCGATACAGAAGGGACCAGAGACAGTTAGACGAAGAAGAGGAAATGTGGTTCAACGAAGAGGAAGACTTTGATGAGGGTGAGGCGGTCGTACCCGCAGCAGCAGCAGATCTTGTGCCTCCGGCTTCTGCTAAGAAACAGTCATCAACTTCAAATTCTGCACTTAATCCTGCTCTTGCAGATTCTAAAAGTCACCATCAGCAGCAGCAGCAACAGCAGTCCGTGTTGAACAACAACACTGCTAACAATAACATTACCTCGCAGCAATCGCAAATCAATAATAGTACAACAACAACAAACGAATCTTCAATTAGTTCGGAAATAAACCCAAATTCACCTATTGGTACGGTAGAAAAAACTGGAACTGCATTATTTAAAAAGGTAAAGTTCCCCTGCTCTTGTTTGATGAAAGTTAACTTTAACGTATCGCAGTTGATATTTTTTAGTTTAGGACATGTATGTAATAACCTTGCTTTCAGGGCTTAGTCGACTACGAGGGAGATTCAGACGAAGAAGATGAGGATACGGAAGTGACACCTTCTCCAAAACGACAAAGATTGTCATAGTAGGCAAACTGGGGAAGAACGAGGAATTTGTGGTTTTTAATCGCTTCTACCATTTCTGGCCCTCCTACGTGCACAAAGGACTCGATCAGAAAATCATGTTATCAACCCTTTTGTAGCTGAACAGAAGAATCATTCTCTCCGAGTGAGTGGACGCACGAAGACGCGTGTTTATCGTGTGGTGGACATACCTCTTTGTGTTGGGTTGTACATAATATACGAAAACATCGATACTGAATGCAGGTGGGTGGAAGGGTCCGAGAAATGGAATCTATGTAATTAAGGGGGAAAAAAAGAAAAAAAAGAATTATGAACTAATGCGATACAAAGGAAGATAGAACTTTCTTTAACGAAACATATGACGATAAATTGTGGCATATTGTTGTATGACCACACGTGAGTGTTAAAAATAACAAAGTTTTAACGAGAAATAGTCCATTCCACACTGTCTGGAAACACCCCATTGTACTAGAAGAAATTATTTCACGAATAGGCTAAGAAACTCTAGCCAGGCCTAGTGGTTCTTACGAGTAACAGAGATTTCTAAGCACACGCTTAGATTCATGTAATAATTAAAAGAAAAATTTGTGACTGTACGTCATAATAATTACATCTGCTAAGAAGAAACTTACTATGTAAAGAAAAAAAATAATTATACATGTAAAAGTACATGATGTACCGCACAAAAAACAACTGAGTGTTTTGTTTTGCCATCCATCAATTTTCTTGTTCGTGTGATGGGCAATTGGGACCCGTCCATAGAAAGGGGGTCAGACATCATGAAACTTTATCCAGTTTAACGAGAATAGTATTTAGTTTGTATATATATGTATATTTGTAACGATTGTAAAACAAGCATTCATGGGTGAATCAGAGAAATATGCGATTCCTTTACAAATTCAGTTCCCTTTTAAGGTTCTTTAAACGAGCTTTTCGGTTGTCAATGTAAGTAGTAGAAATTGTACAATAAACATATTTCAATTGTGTATATTTACCAGTTTGCACTTCATGTCCGCAATTACTCCTCGATGTAAAAAAAAGTATATGTGAAAGTGTCTTGCAATCTTGAGTATTAAATATAAACTGTTCTATTCGTATAAATTATTCGTAATTATTATGGGCAATATCAGAGCCTGGTATCGTTGTATATCTCGAAGAGAAAAAAGAGAAACAAGAATCTTAAATATATATTTGCGAAATAATTTCGTTCGAATCGTGTCCAGTGAATTATTTCGCTTGTTCTTTTTCGTGATTTATAAATAAGGTATAATGAGAAATGACTCGGTTTTTAAAGGATGAGCGTAAACACACGGTGAGATGATGATGCTTAGCAAGATTTATTTTTAATGCTCCAACATCATATCACAAATCATAAATTCATTGATCTAAATCAGCTCCAGATAAGAATGTCTACTTGATATTTTGACTACTGATATACAACCGAGAAAGCTGGTACTATAAGAGTCTCCACTTTTCATTTTTAAAATCACATTCGAATTCGTTTCCTTCAAGTGCTTTTAATGTTCGATGTTATTTTAATATGCTAACAGGTGATTGATAAGGGGAATGTACAACATTCAAAATATGGATTTGGTTTATAGCGCAGTTGTAGGAGGCCCTCAAAGTAATCTAGTAAAATTGTAGCACGCATGTTCTTCGTATAAGAGAGAAATTCACATTGACGGTTTTTCAATTTGTACTTAACTGATAAAATAGAAAAATTCGCTAAGAAATATATGATATAAAATGAAAAAATTTGAAAATTTGCTCATAACGTTTGGATTAGGAGAGGTAACACTTTACCACCAGGATAAACGTGAGTTTCTTCCTTATATCAGAAAAGTATGCGCTAATATTTTTTCTTATAATTATCATAAATTTGTTTCCTTCTTTGTTAATTCAAACAGAAGGAATACATATTAAAAGCCTCACATCCGGAACAGAGTTTCTAAGACTGCTTTAGACCTGTATGTATATTGAACATTTCGAAAATATCATATACACCGTCTATGTACACATATGCATATATATTAACTTATAATATCGTGAAATGGAAATCTTTAGAACTGAATATAGTCAAGAACGGGAGCGAAATCTGTGAATATCAAAGTAGGCAAATTCGCTGGAGCTGAACGATATATATGTATATAAGAAGAAACAAAATGTATAACTTGAACTGATTAGAAGAAAAGAGTGAGAGAGAGAGAGAGAGCGCGCGCGAGAGCGAGAGAGGAAAGTAGTGAAATAGAATGGATTGTAACAAAGGCTAATTATTAGTTATTTAAGAGGATATTAAATAATGTTGTTCTTTATGTGTTTTATATAATATATTCATGATTTATTCGATGAAAAGGAATAAAGCGATAAAATTAAAGGAAGCTTGCGTCGGGTATGTAAGGGACTTGTAAGTAAACGGAATAATAAGAAACGAATCGATATCTAAGTGATACTAGAATAAAAAAGAAAAAAAAAAAATGCACCACTTTAAATGCTATTTAAGCTGAATTTCGTATAATACAATTGTATAGAGTGCTTCGACTACGTTCATTAATGCGCGTAAGCTCTTGTTGCTGTTCCCTTATTTAAATAACGTCATTGTACAATTGCCAGTTTCTCTTGAATCACGTATATTTATCGTAATTTCTTTATTCTGTTTGCGTCATATCAAGTCGACTGCAAGCTACGAATTTTTTGTTTCTCGTACGACCATGCGTTAAGCTACGGTTACATCGGTGAGCGTCGATGATACAAATACTGTTAAAAGGACAAGCGATAAACGGTAATCGACAGTTTCTTTCGTTTTGCTAAAAATTTCATTGCGTCGATATCGAGTTAAAGCGAGAAAACAATGGTATATGGTTTCGAATGTACGGGCACAGGTGACTTTCTCCGGTAAATGGAACTTGGAGAGAAAGGTGATCTCAAAACTCGGGAATTTTTGATCGATCATGGGGTTAATAGGTTATTTCACTCGTCAGCGGGTACGTGGAGCGTAGAGGTCGCTTTCTTCCCTTAACCGAGAGAATGCATCATTGCTCGCAGGTGTGCACGTTGCATCGTCGTTACATTTCTCACCGCTGTAACTTACGGTTTTATCCTGGTCGAACGAGCACAGAAAAAAAACTGATCTGTTCCTTTCGCTTCTTGTTGGGGTGCACCGTTTGAACGCTTGTTTCGCACTCTAGTTTAAACGGAATCGGTTCAAGATTTCGCACTCTGTTCGGGTAGAACAAAATCGATATTTTACGTTGTATAAAATGAACGAAGAGAAGGATATTCTTTGTGCGATCTGGTTCGAAGTTGCGTTCAACATTGATGAAATCCTGTTCGATGTCCACGAAATAAATGATACTTTCTCGGTGTTTTTTTTTTTTTCTTTCATTTCAGTCGGATGAGGAAGCTAAAAGAATCCGTGCAGAGATCGGTGCCGAAGTAGCAGAAACAGAGAAATTTTCGCAGCCGTCACACATTGATGTAATATTAAAATTACATGATAAAAAAAAACATTTGCACACATTGTACAATACCACGTGTTAATAATATAATGCGTTTTAATTATATATATGTATATATATATATATATTATATTATATACATATATACACATATACATATATGTATAACGACAGATCGAAACGATTTTTCTCTGGTGTATATATGTACAGGACACGTGACCGTGCGTGTACACATATACGCACAGAAAAAGACACCTTTTTATATGAGAAGCTATTCGTAACAAAAGAAAAAGAAGAAATACCATTTGAATTATAAGAGCAAGCATAAGGGAAAGAAGAACTTTGTTTTGTGTGTAGTACGATAATAGTTGAATGATGAACATGCGGAAAACGAATATTTTGCATTTTATTCTAGCGAAGTATGAACGATCACATGAGCAGCAAAACGAGAATTTAAATGTGAGATTCGCGGTGGAAAACGAGCCACAATTCTTCACTTTCTTTTTAATCTTTATTTAACACTTTGACGATCGGTACCTTAATGTATAAAATGACCACTTTTATCAACAGAAATTTTTTTCAAATTGCGACATTTTTATGATATTTAAATAAGCTCTACCCTATCTTCCCATATAAGGTAAGGTAAATTCATTTAAAGAACTATATAAACTATTTCGTTTAATTTCATTTCTACTTATTATGTCTGTTGCATTCATTTTCATATCGTATCTTTTACTTTGAGATCAGGCGTGTGTACAGCCCCGAACGCGTGCAGTTAGCGGACGGTTTACTATACAATGAATAAAAGTAGTCATTTTACAGATCACAAAAGTAGCATTCTACAAAATATGTGGTTCAAAATATAATTTTAAATGCACTAATTTCCTTCCTATACAATTAAAAAATTAATAGAATTTCGCTCGCATTCCACCACGAATTTATTATTCATTTTCATAATCGGACAGTCAAAAAAAAAAAAAAAAACCGATGGAAGAATGATTAAATGTGTGTTACAACGGAATAGTGTGCTGTAGAAGTGCGGAAAATATTTAATTAAATAAAACCCTAAAATTAGAAGAATTGGTTAATGGAACGGAGTCATAACTTACCTCAGTGTTTAAACAATGGGAGAAGGACATTTCTTTGTATGGATGTAATCGTTATCGGTCTTGGTTCTACTGTCTAATTGTGATTTATACGATTTATGCTATTAGACAATTATATGTAAAACAGATTTTCTTTCCAACATATCCATGTTTCATTTCATCGCACGATTAATTTTCGGTGTACGTTTCTTTCTTCTTTTCTTCGTTATTAAAAAAAAGGAAGAGTTTAAAACATCCATAAACATTCTTTTTCTTCATTTATTTACACAATTCGTATTCTTCTGAAACTTATATAAATCTTTATTATAAAACGTATCTTTTCTTTTCTATTTTATATTCCAGTTGCATATGTGTACCATTAGTGAAATTAATTGCAAGTGATCTTAATTTCAGTAGCATTTGCCAGTGAAGAACATAGAAGAAGAAAATATATTGTCCCTTTTAAGAAATTTTATAGATGTTTTTATCCTGTCATAGACAGAAAATTGTCTGTAGTGACATTTTTAAATTTATGTTTCATAGAAGGGAAAATGTATTTTCTTTGCAGGATTCTTCAAGTGAAAATACTATGTACAGTTTCATATAATTTAACATTCGACCACTCGGCTTAATTATCTATATTCTTTAACTGTGAAAACTGCAGTATATAGAAAAAAAGAGAATCTAATCAATGAATCAACTAAGTATTAGTTTTCTATAAACTAGTCATAAAGACGAGTGGTGGAATCTCTGGCTTCGTTTTACGCGACTGTACTATTGCTTGAAAAATAGAAATATTTCATACGCATCTAAACTCGTTCCACTACATAAATTCTTTACTCGATAAAATGCCTACTGTTCTTATCTTCTTTCTAGACCGTCAATGCTAGAAGTTTATGCAATTACTATATTCAGGACGTTCTCTCTCTTTACCTCTTCATTCTGTTTCTCAAGAAATACCTTTCAATTTCTTGAATGCGTATTCTCGAAATCAGTGTTATTATTAGTTCGATTGCTTACGCACGACTTCAGCTTGAAGACGAGCCGCGAGCGCTTTGCGCACTTGCAATATGGATGGCTCCAGGGGTTCCGGTAATTTTAGTTCTTGCTCTCCTTTTATCGTTGCTTGCGCTACTGTCCTCGCGGAACTTGGCCGAGTAGAATTCATTTCCAATCGCTGGCTTCTCGCCTCCTTCTTCAGAGCCACTAGTTTGTCGCGTCTGGCTTTCAGATAAGCTTGTCTCTTCCTTATGTCTTCTTCCGACACCTAAAATTATTAATACTAATAAAAAAGATATCGACTTTACTTTATTATAAAATCATTAGGTATTAATCAATACGTTTTGCTCCTCTGATTTAGACTCCTGTGTAGGTGTTAAATTTGAAGGAACAGGTCTCTCAAACTTGACATCATCCAACTTTTCTTTTTCTTCTTCTTCTTCTTCTTCTTCTTCTTCTTTCTCGCTTTTCAATTGTTCTTCCTCTTCTTTTTCTTTTACCTCAGTATCGAGAATCTTTTCTTGCGAAGCTTTCAAAGCTTCCTCCAGTAGTGCTCTCTCGTTGTTATATTTAGCAGCCAAGCGTTCGTGTTCCTTGATCAGCGATGTTTCCGAGGACATATCTTGCTCTTCTTCCGAGTCGTTCTCCAATGCGTGTTTCCTATGTACATATATTTTTCTGTTTGAAAAATTACAAATAGAACTGTCTTCGTAAACGAAGAATATGAACAACTAAGGCGAGTGGTAGGGCATTTCTTCCGTTTAACGAAGACTGTTCGAGTGCTAACTACTCCCTCTACGATTCGAAAGCGACCCTTTATAACCAGCAAATAGCTTACTGAATTATCTCCTCCATGACCAAAGGGTCATCGCTCGATCCGTCAGTTTCGTACACCAAAGATGCAGGGGTCAGACCATATTTTTGTTCAATCATATTCAAAGCCTGCAACTGCAGTTCCAGATTTTTCTGTATCATCATCCTTTTGAAGATCTCATATTCATTGGCCGCCCATATTTGCTCGAACAAATTCTGAAAATAATGCGTTATTAATACAAGCTATTCGTTTCTTCTTTTCCGCATCTTCGACTCACCTGCTGAAATTGTACAGGCATTTTCGTGTACTTGTTCACGGTACAAGCGTACTCGAATTGCTCCGGAGTGATGCCCATGTCTTCCATGAAACAACCAAGCAATAAATCTACTAGATTTTTGTACTCTTGATACGTCTTTCGATACTCGTTGTTGTCTTCGACGTCCGCCTCGAATACTGTGGAAAATCAAAGGAATATAGCTGATTTATTGTCTAGAATCACGCTTTGGGTCCAGAAATGATATTTTTTGCAAGCTTGGTTTTTATTACGAAGTGCGTATAAAGTAGAATTACGGAATGACGCGAACTTACTTAAAGATTTCTCTTCGACGAAGGTGATCAGAGGCGTCGACCAAATGGGTCCCTGAAGAAATCCTATCAGGGAATCAAAAACCCACGCGCTATCGTCTCTGTCGTTCATTTCGAAGGGTTCTTTCACGAGGATGATTTTGTTCGAATTAGTTGGCGATACGGTTCCCAGCAACGTGTCAAGTGTCTCCTTTAGAACGTAGTCATAGTTACGCGTGGCAAAACACTTAGGTTGACTTGCGCGAACGAATGGAAACAGTACAGTTAACTATTTTACGTTCAATCACCGAAAAAAGGTGATATATACAAAGGAACGATGATCGATGAGAGTTCGAGATAGGTAGATCAGTAATTACACGGTCCCTGATGTTCGTTGTCTCGTCTTTATTCGGCGATACATAATTTTTTATTCGCTATGTAAGATTCTCCTCGTTCTGTAAGATAATACTTTATGTTACTTGTTTCTAATAAAATTGAAATGAATCTACGAAGTTTTGTGAGTCCCTAAGTAGTCGACATATTAGCGGAATGTATGTATAGATAAAAAACGATAAATTTATAATAATATATATGATACAGCATAGATGTAAGACTAACTTCAGTTACGTACAACGAATATACACGGTAAAAAGTTAACGGGCTAGATATGTACAAAATCACCTGGTACGATTCTTTCCAGGCTATTCGTATTAATAGTTATCGATCCGAAATTAGAAAAAAGTAAAAACGTTGGTATATAAAGAAAAATAATATTGAGATTCTCTTATGTACAGTGTGCCTCCTCGTCTCTCCTAGTCTATTATAATAATATCAATAAATTCGTCGGGACGTTTGCAACAACGAGATATGATTCTCTATATACAAGGATATAGCTTCCCCTACAACTGGAAATTGTGTTGAGAATGATTCAAGGTGTTCGTCGACATCGTATGAGCTGGATGCGAAGGAGCTGGCGTGTACAGGCTGTGATGAGAGTGAGACTTCGCTCTAGAGAGCTCGCTGTAGCGATCCTGTTCTGGTGGAGCAACCAGGAGAACCGGTCTCAGGGACAGGGACTTCCGTGAACCTGCTACGCTCTGGGCTTCGTTCACGTATCCTGGATTTACTTCGCCTGAAACGAAAGGCAATCCCTTCTTTAATACTTCAACTGTATGTTTGTGTTGCACAGTTTTTATTTTATCTTTATGTTAAGGGCTATCCTATAATTCTGGAGACTGTCAAAATATTTTAGAGTTAGTAGGACTTAACAAGGAGGAATAAAAACATCTGAAATATCTAAGTACTGTTTTTTACAGCGTACCTTTGTACAATGAACCATTGTTAAAAGGCTCTGGCTGTAGTCTAACGTGCCTCGACGCCAAAATAAAGGCAAGAGCTGCCAAGGTGGCAGCGTCCAAAGCAGCGATCGCTGCTAACGGTATTGCCCATCTAACGGCGCACGCTCCCGGATTGTATCTGCATAACACATTATTCCCACCGGGTTAGTTAACATTCAACAAAGTATGACAACGATTAATTCAAATTGATTTCATTTTTTAATATATACTTGTTACACGCGTCGTTTAAATTGCAGATTGAACTAGAAAGTCTTTCAATAAGGAAACTCGTGCTCATTTTCTGGAACGTTACCTGGATGCAGCTGCACCGCAAACGGCTCGAATTAACGGTGAATCCCAGCCTAGAGGATAGATGCAAACTCCGATGGCCATCGATATAGCTGAAAAATGTGTATTATTATTAACGTATCATTTACTGACATTTAGTTACATTTAGTTACATTTAGTTACATTTAGTTACAGAATTAGTTATACAACTTTCGAGTTACATGAGACTAGAATTTACTATGGTCGAGGAAGAAATATAATCGCGCTTGGCATTTTAGTGAACTCGCTTCGCGGATGTTTCAAAGGTCAATAGTGAAAGGGAACTCTTACTTCAGAATTATTTTATGTTTTCTTTTACAGATACCTTTTCATTCTGTTTAGAGTAGAGTGATTTAAAGTATAAAGTGATTGGAAAAATATAACAGTTTTATTATTCTTTATTCGACCAAGTAAAACTTTGCCAATTTTCAAGAATCACATCGGAAGGTAAATCTGATAGAACTTTTCCCATTAAATTGCGAGTAAGCCGAGGGTAAAACGCGATTGCGGAAGTTGCGGCCGTATTACACAGAAACGGTAGTTTTCGTTTCCGATTCGCTGACCGGTACTATAATGTTCGTTTCTGGGTGAAACGTTTTCCTGCGCGTACAGTTGATTCACGTTTCAACCACGGACTTTCACTGTCCGCAAACGTGTTTCTTAGTAAACGACCATGATTAATATCCTTGATAATGAATCAAAATATCGGGGAGTGCATAATTTACTGTCGACAAGCGTTTATGCGGCGAATGTTAAAAATTAGCGCATTTCTTAATCGACATTGGCGTAACTTGAAATTTTCCAAATAACCAAGTAATTTTATGACCAATTTTTGTTGTAACCTCGATTCTGGTCTCCTGAAACGCTTTTTATCTGAAATTGTATTTTGCCACGATTAGAAAGCGTTTCCTGTCCACAGGATCCCGCTTACGAAACGCGTAACAATACCCTAATGAATAGGCAGCGATATTCGAATCGCCGATTACACTGTGAACAGAATTTTAAGGGAAAACCTGCTCTTTTGTAAACTCTTCGAGCGGTAGATTGTTTGGAAATAAATGTAGAATAGACCGTTAGAACGAGGTACCGGTTAGCCAACGCCTTCGACTGGACTTCTAATTAGTTCAATTGATGCGATAACACGGTCGGTTTTGTTTAACCTAATTTTTTTACTAATAATGTTGATTTTTTTCCGCATCGTTTCTTTAAATTTCAAAAGGTTGCCTATAGATATTTCGAAAAGGAAAAGTAGATCAGCAACGTTGATAAGCTCTTGGTACACTGATTAAGCTGGCCCTGTAACGGGGGAATGCACCGGTTCAAACAACCAAATGTACAACTATAAAATGCCTGTCTCTGTACAGTTGACCCACTTGAAGCACATTGACACGCTTCGTCTGTTCTGCAACAAGTTACACGTACGCTTCGCTTTTCGAATATTTAGCTTGTTCGTTTTTCTCATTTGTCAACTTTAGGAATTTGTGGAAATAGGAGAACCTGTTAAATTAAGTAATTTTTCATTTTTAATCTTTAAACACTCAAGTTCTAAAATTTTTGTAATTTTCATAATTGCAAATTTTTACCAGCTATAAAGAATCCTCTACATTTGCATTTTCTACGAGCTGTACATTCGTGTAAAATTTAATTGGCAATGAAGTTTTCCGTGGTAGAAACAATTGCATCGCTTCCTGACACGATGACCTCCTCGATGCACTATGGTAATTTTCAACGGCATTACAATGATAAGACATTACGTGGACGATTACAGCAATAGCCCGCGGGAACACGCCCGTTCGCGTTATACTTTCGAAAGCGACGTTCAACGTCGCTGCTCGCTAAATGTTCCCCCTTCTTTTTTACCTTCATTTCAGCTCGTAATTATGCAACGTACGATTACGTCTATTTTTAATTGAACTCAACGTGTAACATCCCGTTACGAAGATTTATCCCCGTCATTTTCTTTACGTTTTCAGATCGTATCGGTATCTGCATTCGATTAACGTTACGCAACGACCTAGATATACATGTATAACCGTGCGCCATACGATGCATACTCTTGTATGAAATTCCTAATCGATTATTCCCAGCATTATCATTTCTGATAAAAGAACAGTTGCTGCACTGTTCAATTATCAAACACAAGTTTGATTACTATTCTGTTTATAACCGTTTAGATACCACCTACACTGTATTATTTCTTCAATATTCTTAGCTCGTTGTGTGTGGGATGTTATGACACACACGTACAATAGTCATTGACTCGTTAACCCTTGTATAGGCAACTCGAATGCATCGTAGGCTTTTCGTGATTAAAAGTACTTGAATGTGGGAAGAGGAAGCCTTTGTTCTTGGGTGAATCTTCAGGGAAGCCCAGGAGATCTTAGGAAAAGTTGTTGAAAATGTTTGAAATTTTATATTTTCTACTACGATTTGTAGGCATGAAATTTGATATATGTATAGACTCGATACTGTGTCGCGGAAACAGTATTGAGTAATGTAGAGAAATATAACAATTACCTGACACCACTTGCATCCAGGCACAAAGGTAGAACACGGTTGTACTCTGACAGAAGAAAAATAGAAGCATCGCGCAGATCGTCAATAGAGCGATTATCACCGCGATGCCGACTAGAATGGTGCTTACTCTGAAAGGAACGTTAGCGATCGTTGATAAATCGTCTACTCTGCCGATACATTCTTCGCCCAATTCACCTGATAAACAGAAACCAGTTATACAAGTTAACAAATTTTATTTGTTTCAATTACGCGTGATAGAGAAAATGAATCTTTTACCATTTCCACCGTAGCTGCATCTAGTCCACAGACCGAATCTTCCAGGATTCTCGTGTTCCAAGTCACCCAACCATTCTGGCGTGACAAACGCCACAACCCCGATTATGGCATAGCATATGGTAAATATACCCCAGAGAACGCCGATCGCCTTCGAATTACGAATGTAATTCGTCGCGTACATGTGCGAGGATTCCACGTATTCTATCTTCGATCCCATTTTGCTGATGTTCGAACAGAAAAAAAATAAACTGTTATTACTGTGCAATGCAATATAATGGCTAAATAACAAGTAATATTTCGAAAGAGGCATCGGACTAATTCTATGTACTTATGCTGTTAGTATTTTTATTTCGATGCACCTACATCGCTATGTGTCCCTATTCGTATCACTCTTTACAGTGTATTCGTCAGTCACCGTATCGCATATTAATTCGAATTTCCAAAGCTCCCAAATAACCCCTTTTTCATTATAAAACGAAATGTAATATTACAATGTACACATGTCGCAGTGTCAATAGCGAAACTCTCGAAACAAAGAACAGCTTTCGCTTAGTAATAGCCGAGACGAAAATCTCGGTAGTTTATTCGCGCCTTATTGCGTACCAGTGTAAACTCGATTCCGGGTTCACGAACAATTTAACGATCAAAGATCGGGCAATCGATGAAATTACAATGAAAAAATCACTTACTGAGTTTGCGAATTGATCTTTCTCAATACAATTTCCTCATCACTGATCCTGCGGTTTCTTGTCGAGCGTTTCGTTTCTCACATTAAATCCGTTCCAAACACCGCCCGTGACATTTACGTAGGAACGTTCACCGATCGGTTAAATAAGGTGCAGCGTTTCTTTCGTATCCAATAATCTATTGATCAGATGGTAACAAAACGCGGATTGTATTACTTGCATTCTTCTCGTTTTCACGGAGCGGGAGGGGACTAGTCCGATGTCTTTTACCGTGTCGGGTTACACGGTTCGAAAAAACAAATAATCGAAACCGTGTCCCGATGTTGTGATATTATATTATATGCACGAAACAAAATGTGCTGATCGATGCAACAGTTTGTAAACAACGTTCGGAATGATACGCACGTTTCGGTCGCGCAATTTCGGGTCACGTACGATATTAAAATCGAAACCAATTGCATCGAGATGAAAAGAGTCTTGCTTATAAACTTGATGTTAAAAAGTATTGTACTATTTGTAACGGTGAGAGGATCGTGAAGAAATCTAACTAGTATTACCTAACCGTACCTTCTTTTTTCTCCGCAGGAGTTAAACTTTGTCTAAAGAACCTCTGAGGACATCTGACTCACGGTAACGATCTTCCAACTCCGCAAGATGAAGACACTTTGGCTAACTTTCGAATACACGAAACTCCGTGTGTGTTTGGACTAGAAGTCGAAGGAAACGAACTTGCGTACACCACACACGGAAGGTGAATAATCACGAAACGACCGGGAACCGCGAAAACGCAACTCGTCAGATACACAGTGGTCAGTCCGCTGTATCGGTTTGCATAGCATCTGTCTGCTGCGAGTCGACGCGGCTGATCACCTCAACGAATGGAAAATACGACTTAAAGAGGACAAGATGTGATAGCACGGCGTGTACCTTAACATGGCTGTTCAGGTGAGTTGAAGTTGCCAGGTAAGTAAGAAAGAGGAAACGAAGAGGAGAGGGAAAGAGACAAGGATTGTGAATGGGGCCTCTTGCGGACCCTGGGCTCGAGAGAAAGGCGACGTCGTCGAGAAACATGGAAAGGTGGGGATAATATCTAGTATATAGTTCTAATTCAAATATGGCGAGATTATAAATTTGAACCACTGTTAAAAGACACGTGTTTTCACTCTTAAAAATAACGACTTTGAAATGACAGAATGTCGGGACCTCGGAATTTTAGAACTTTGAAAACTGACTTAGAAACTTTTAGAGAATGGGATTTGTTATTTCGAAGTTGAAATCGTGTCTTAGTTTTCAGACTTTCCACATTTACAATCACGCTATACTACGGTGAGAACTTTACTCGTGCAATACGAGTATCACCTTTGTAGTCTTTTCTTTCGAATGGACCCGCCTATAAAGAATTGTACGCGTCCGACGAAAAAGAGAATAAAAATTGAAGTTTTATCGAGTATTTTCTTTCCTTACTTGATTATTTTTAACAACAATGATTTGAAACTATTTCATCTACTAATATTTTCCTTTTGTGTAAATAAATTATCGAAGAGTTTTATACATTATTTTTACAAATGGATCCTGTTAATTTGGGTCTATAAAAAAGAAATCGAGCTAAAGAAATTACCTTTTGCCGAGTGCAGCACCCTGCATATTTTTGCGATGATGCGATAACAATGCTGACTGTAGATTTCAGTTTTATCACATTCCTGTGCATGCATGATGTAAATTTTATTTTTATACGATCAAAACCATGATCGTTTTATAGATCGGGAATAATACACATTTAAATTGTACCGGAAGATGTTGAAACTACGTTAGATGAATCGTAATCGGAACCCACATTTGTGAATTTGTAGAAATCTGTGAGATGCTGCCGTGATACTTGAATTAGTATGCAAACTCATGTTTCCTAGAAATGGCCCAGCTTCACATTCGAATAAATACTTTCTTTGCTCTGATTTCTACATTTTTGAAAGTTACATTTACCAAGAGAGACATCAATTACTTACAATTTTAACCTAAATGGGGTAACTACGTGCTTTCATTAATTTGCTGTGACTTCAATTAATCTACCATTGTTAATTTATGCTCCTTTTCTTTAAGTATAACCGTTCAATATTTGAAAAAATCATGGACAATTGTATTCGATTTATATTTGTATTTCATGCAGGCTATGATTTGCATAAATTACAGAGTCGTAAATTAAAATTCCCTATAAAACTGTTATTTCAGTGCCATCTACAACAAAGATAGATCTAAAGCGCGACACATTCCTTAATTTGAATAATTTGAAATTTTTATATTTCTAAATTTTCAAATTGTTAAATTTGTAAATTTAACAATTTTTAATTGCTGTGAATATCTGATACCTTCTCGCTGCACACATCGTAATAATAATGGCCATGACTTTTTCAAAGGGTACTTCAACTACCTTTTACTGTCGCTGATCTACGATATTGAACATTGTTCCAAACACTTGTTTAACCTAATGTATCGTAAACATGGCAAATCGAACGGTAAAGGATGCAAAATCAATTCGAGGAACAAACCCTCAATATTTGGTAGAGAAAATAATTAGATCTCGAGTATACGATTCCAAATATTGGAAGGAAGAATGTTTTGCTCTGACTGCGGAACTTTTAGTCGACAAGGCTATGGAATTAAGGTTAGGAATCACGTACTAAATATTTATTTTTTAATGTAAACCAGTAGTTATTTTAACACTTAAAAAGTATTATATACATTTTTTTTTGTTATCTGCATTTAATTATGAATAATTCCTTATGAAAGTGTAACCTATTTCTAATATAAACAAACGTAGTTATCTGTTATTTAAAAGTATCCTGTTTTAGATACATAGGCGGCGTATATGGTGGAAATGTAAAACCCACACCATTTCTTTGCCTCATATTAAAAATGCTTCAAATACAACCTGAGAAAGATATCATAGTAGAATTTATAAAAAATGAGGAATTCAAATATGTTCGTGCTCTTGGAGCGTTATACATGAGGTTAACAGGATCTTCTCTGGACTGTTACAAATATTTGGAACCATTGTTTAATGACAATAGAAAATTGAGGCGACAAAATAAGGAAGGTAAATTTGAATTGATTCACATGGATGAATTCATAGATGATCTCTTACGGGAGGAGAGGTGCTGTGATGTTATTTTGCCAAGAATACAGAAGAGGCATGTTCTTGAAGAGAATAATGAACTAGGTAAATTCTTTACTTCTCATTTATATAATACTTTTAAAAGACAAGTTAATCATTTAAATTTGTATAATAGAAGCAAAAGTGTCAGCATTAGAAGATGACATGGATGAAGGAATAGAATCTTCTGAAGATGAAGATATTCCTCCAGTTAAAGAAGATACCAGAAAAAGAACAGATGATCATGATAGAGATAGAGATCGTCATAGGGACAGGGACAAGAGACATTCACGGTCTGACAAGAAATCTGATAGAGAAAAACAAAGATCAAGAAGTCGAGACAGAGATAGAGATAGGGATAGACGTGAACGTAAGCGGAGTAAATCACCAAAAAGTTATTCCTCGTCGCATAAAGATAAAGACAGAGACAAGGATCGACATAGAAGAGACGACCGAGATAGAGATAGAGATAGAGATCGAGATCGAAGACGAGAACGCGATAGAGCTAGACATTGAATATTACAATTCAACAATTTTTGTACAGAACGTAACGATTGACTTTAATTATTATCAGGCTAATAAAAAATGTAAAGTGGTACAAGTCTTGAATCTTCTTTTTTATCGTGTGTACTGCGTTTTGTTCATAACAGCAGTATATAACATTTACAGAGAATAGTTTCATATTAAAATTATAGCATTTATCAATAGAAACGCTACACAGTAGCTCGTAATACCCGTACATTACATGTTGTAAGTGATAATATTTTGTCTCTATTATTACATTATTCATTCTTCCTAGAACCATATTTTCGATTTAACAAGATTATGAAACGATGGCCGTTGTTCTTATGCTTATATACAAAATATTAAAGAAAATTTATCACTGTAATCGTTAAAAAATTATTTTAGAAATATAATATACTTTTTAAATGATACAAATAGATACCCTATAATTCCTCTTCAACGATACAGTGATAAATTTTCTCGAGCACCACATAATAAAATAAGTAGAGGATATCATAGCCTGTCTATAAATGTAATCCACATGATTACATGCGTGTCTTTAAATATATACATTTTCACATATGTTCCTTATTTCACAATGTTTTGTCGTAATTAAAAATAGTGAGCAAAGTATGGTATTAATATATGAGGAATGCATCCATCTTTGATGCGATGTGTCTTTCTTATTAACAATATTTTATTAACCATCACTAAAGAATGCACTTCATATCTTCATGTTATATCCATCAAATTTATCTAATTTCTTAAAATGTTCATGATTATATCAATTATTAAAATGTAGGCGAGTTTAAAATAAATAACCTCTCCTCTTCTTTTTTTATCCATTTCAATAATTTATTTACTGCGTCAATGGCATCAAGTTTTGTTACAAGTGGTTCAAATGTAACATACAGTTCAAAGCCTAATGTTACCTAAACAGACAAATAAAAATTAAATATTTAATATTTTGATACCTATCGCCAAGTGTATTTTAACTTACCCATGCTAACATGGTTTCTTTATCTAACTGTTGGAATATAAGTTTTAGTGGTCTATTTGGAGCATGTAGCCTGTGATGTAGACATTGATAAAGTCCCAATAACCTATAAAAAGAAAAAAAAAAAGGGAACAGATACGTAATACGAAGTTTATTTTTTAATTTTCTAAAAAAAATATTAAAATTACCGTTCGATCTCTTCATCTGTTGTATATGGAGGTTGAAGTCCAGGACTCCAAAACTGTGCTGTGCTTCTACACTTATACAAAACATGTCTCATTTCTGGCAATCCAATGTCAGCAGTCGTAATTGGTGGTTTATGCATAGATTCATTAATTGCCTCTAAACAATTTGTTCGTCTTAATTTTTCCACAATTTTCTAAAAAGAAAAATGATACATTATTGTTAACATCAGTACCTTTTAAAACTTTGTATCAAAACACTTACTTGTTTTGCTTCTGAAAGAATATAAAATACATCTCTGTCAACTGTAAGTAACAATAAGCATGCCTGACAGTCTTCAGCCAAATACGATACATGTCCATGCATATAACCATTGGCATCAAACTTTGGTAGACATATCGGTGTCCAGCTCTCGGCAGTTTTAAGCGACTCTGAACTGTCGACCAAATTTTGTATTATGTGTAAATCCGCAGGATGTAAAAAAAATTTGTTCATTCTGACTAATGTTACCAATTGGTTATTAGCTAAAAGTATCGCAAATACTAAATTCTGAAAAGTGTCATATTTGTGTGATTAGTATGAGTAGTATAAAATAATGCGTTGTATTTTGATATAACAAGACATGTTTACAATTTGTATACTACATTTGAGAAACATATATACCTTGATTTTTCCACATGTTTGAATAATAGTTTGCGTGATAGAACTTCTCATGGAAGGAAGTAAAGGTAAACATTTGATGGCTCCCAGAAAAAATGCTGGTTCTCTATCCATAAAATTTAATAAATGATCTATCAGTCTTTCGCTACCGGTTAACAATCTTCTTAAGTCAAAGTTTCTACGTTGATCATATACTCTAGTTAGCTGTGACTGTGTCAACACAGATACTATCTGATTATATACATATCTATAAATAAAAGAAATTGTAAATCTTATGCTTTATATTTGGAGTTGCTCCACTGAGATGTACATACGTTAATTGCAATGTAAGTTGAGGTACACTTTCGAGCGTCTTTGAAACTGCAACTAAAATCAATGGGCCTTTTACAACAAATACAAAATTAGTATCTCCTGCATGAACAGATCTAATCATATCACTGCCTGCTTGGACAAATGAAACTAGAGCTTGCATCACGCCCATAACTGTGACTAGTTTATCTTCTGAACTGTATCTAGAGTATATGGGTTTTCCTGCTTGGCTCAAAATAAATATATGCTTCCTTTGTGCCAACCATGCTTTGCAACGTAAGGGATCAGAATCCAAATTGGTTTGACCTAATCGATGAGTAACATCCTCCTACAATATGAAAAGCCTATTGAAACACGAATAGAAAAACATAACAAGGTTAATAGTACAGAAATATATAATTTAAAAGGCTATTTTGATACTGAGGAATTATTTTAAAATTAAAGTATTTGCAATAGTTCTTAGAGAAGAGGTTATAAAACATACTAATTCAGAATCATCAAGGGAAGTCGTTTTCTGAAGTTCACGTGGAGTAGTTGCAGTAGGTGTTGCTGGAATGTCTTGTACTTCTTCCTGAATTTCTGAAATAGTGCTCGTTGTACTTTCTTTCATCTGTCTATCGTCAATACTACTGCTCATCTCTTGTTCGTATTCTTCAAAACTATCTGTTGTGACAAGCATTGTTTCCGCAGAGGCACCTGGCTCAATACCAGGCTCGGGGATACCATCCTCGATGACAGTAGGCTCTTTCGTAGCCATATTTATAAATGAAACGCTTCTAATGTATCACTATTTTGAAATTTCCTCTTCCAATTGACATTTAATACCGAGCCATGACAGATTGGTCGCCATTGTTAAATCCGGCTTATTTGGAACAAATTCTATACTTTGTTCCGCGGAAGAGTATAGATACGGTAACTTGAGTGCATATCTGGCTTCCCTAGGGAAAACAGAGAGAGATATGACACTAGAGCATGCATTATGCTTAACTCACAGAAATCAATACCTATAGTAAAATTTTGAATACCTTCAATAATATTGTAAGTCCTATGAATTAGGCATAATGTGCACTAATACTCTAATATTATAGCGCGTGGTGGGGGCTTTTCCCCTTAACCGCTATTTTCCATAGGGAAGCCATATACATATAATTGCAAATTTTATTATAAAATTAAAGACAATTCAACGTAAAATATCTGCACCATTTTATTTTGGAAGTATTTATTTTGTAACAATACAGAATCTAAAAATAACGATTTGAAGGAAGCAAAAACTGCTGTGTGTTAAAAAACTATGTGACTATCGAATGCACATTTTTACGATGCCCTCGCTGAACGCACAAGTAATATATGTAACCGTATAGTATCCGATAGGAATTAATAACAGTCACACGAGGCCGATAATTATTATATATAGCCAAGCTACACGTACAATGCCAGTTTGATCTGCGCCTACATATCGTGATTTCAGTTATGTTCTGTGCGGAAGTATACACCCATTGTACACCGACTGATCAATGAATGTGAATGAAAATATCCGCTCATCGGTATCTAGACTAGTTTGCACACATATGAGATTCTCAACTACATCCTCCTTTATTTTTCTTAAAAATATTGAGAATTATAGAGATTCGATTACTGGACGAAACATCTATTTCGCAAAATAGCTATAAATAGTACGCACAACATACTGCGTATTCTGAACTCCGATAGTTGATTGTACGTCTCGCGCATTTCGAAAATAAAGCCACTTTAAGCGGTCAAGATTTTTAAACAAATTCATCGAAATCGGTGTAACTTTTGACTCTAGTCTTTTCCGGTGGTGTTGAAGCTTCATTAATTACTGCGAAACCATAATCTCGTAATCGGGGAAAGCGACTTCGGCACCACCGAATGGTATATAGCAAACACTGTGGGAAGGTTGCACCTTGCCGATCGTCAATGTACCCTCGTGATGCACACGACCGACATAAAGTGGTTCTCCGTCTTCGGTTTCACCACCCGGAATTGCATTAGGAGGAATGTTGTTTCCGCTTGTTGGTACCCACTGAGGGTTGCAGTCGCAAAGAACCTAAAACATAAAATTCCTGATATATTTCCATAAATACTTTATACGCTTAACTTCTTTGAAAAGGTGTCTACCATTGGATGCTAAATTTTCTACATTCGTTACCTGATATTCACTCTTTCCGTGTTCACTGCCGCCCCAAGCAACGTAACAGACAGAATGTCCTGGTTTCACTTTACCAGGTAGAAGAGCACCTTCGTGGTAAGCTCTGCCTACATACAATGGTTCGTCGTCTTTTCCTCCTTCGACAGCTGCTGGAGGTATCATTCCACCTGAGGCGTCGCACCAGCAAGTGGCACCCATTTCCAAACCTTGCACCGGTGGTGGTGGAGCAGATGGGTTCACATCTACAAACAAGTATTGGGCTTACTAGTCATGAAATAATTAGTGCTATAGAAGAGACAGAAGGTGCACAAAGTTTGTTCTATTGTGTTGGCCAAAAAGTAATGTTATCAAATTTGTAATTGAACAGTTTTATAAGAAATGACAAAACATGTTGACCAACCCAATATCACAGAGAATAATGCAGCATTCGTTTTCATGCTACAATCACAGTTATAAAGAAACGGTATTCATTGATAATTACTAAACATGAGCATTGCATGATATTTCTGGCATGTGAAAGGAAATTGTGTGGAAAGTTACTAATCGATTGGATGAATCATCGGTTATGTTTAAAATAGCAAAGAGAGAATTACGATAGGGAGTGGAAGTGAATTGAAGGAGAAGGTATTTAAAAAACAATGTATCTGCAGTCTGCAGGAGATAGTGGCGTGTGACCTCGACATATTTGCTGAAACACACATGCTACTGTTAAAACATTTTGCTCGCAATAAAGACACAATACACATATAAGCTGGGTCGCTATTCAGATCTGTTAATAATGCCACGCTTATTAAGGAAACGTTTGAGTGTAACATGATTGTGTGTCGGATTTCCACGCGTTGGAAATCATCGTTATATTCCCATATTTGGGGCTCACCCGGGTCCCTACGAGGTAACGGTAATATGATAAAATGGTGCACCTTGCGTTGGCACTCAAGCGAGGCCAATTTGATGGCTTAACGAGCCCAAGATCCGTCAAAGAGAGTGGAAGCAGAGAAAACAAGCTACTAGGCTCGTAAAAATAAAATTGCAGATATGCTGATGGACTTCCTGGCTAATTAGTGGCACCCATTATCCAGACCTTCGTATACCCAATTAAAAGTAGATATTTCAATCCTCTTTTTAAATTCACAGTTATTCAACCCAATTTAGCAATGAATTTTCGGGACTGAGAGTAAGCTTCATTAATAGTTAAAGAAATAGAAAAAAAAGAGATTACGTTTGGAAGTATCAGCTGAACGAGGTGGGTACTGTGCAGTTCGAAGTTTCCATTTTCCGGTTGCGCCCCAACCGGTGCGCACGCCTATGTAACTGATACCAATTGGCTTAGGATCCTGCCATTCCATGATCTTAGAACCGTTTAGATCACCAGCCCTGACCGTGATAAGGCCGTCGAGCCAAGTGATCGTGAACTTCTTCATTGCATTCTCGTTCAGCAGGTTTGGCGTGTTCACGCGCACCTGTCATTGCAAAATCAGCCTTTTAAGAGGGGTACTTTTTAACGCACCGTAGGCTTCCTTTGTACGAGGAAAGAAACTTGTACCACCTAGGAACAGCTTAAAGAGTTAATCTATGGAAATTCTAGATATTCTCAAAATGTGAGACCCGGTTTAGGAACTCTACGAGTTAGAACATCTTTAATACCAATAGTTAGAAATTTGGAAATGTTCTTTTTATCACAAGAGAAATAGTGTTGTCCACAATGGTGAAGGAAGCCTGCGTTGCAGCTGGTGTACACACCCTACGGATGTTCACCGAATTCGAACCTTGTCAGGCTGTTTGCGATCGTATCTGATGACTGATGCGGTGTTCTCCCAACCACCGAGCATGATTTCGTACATCGGACTCGAATCGCCTTTCTTGTTGGTCAAGGCAATATGCGCGTTGCTCTTGGCCTTCACCTCAAGGAAAAGCGAACCGCTTCTTACGTTACGAAACTGGTACACTAACTCGTCCCGGGTTAACAGGGTGCCGTGTCCTTGTGTGTGAGTCAAACAAGTTTGATTTTTTAACTATGAGTACCTTGCTTATGAAATGTTATCTCCTATCCGGGTACTTTTTTACGGATTCCTACTTCTCTGACTTCGACAAATAAACTTTACCTCCATGGTTCATGTAATGTTCGCGCGTAATAAGCAGGATCGTTATGGACATCGACATAATAAGGGTTTTGTTCAGAGTGGACCATATTCCCTGTCATATTCCCTGGCATTCAAGGTCTTACACACACACACTCGCTATACATGAAGAGGGTCATTCATTTTAAGGAATTTAAGTCCAGTCTGAGCTCTACCTAATTATGCCAAGTTTAAGCAAGAATAAGCGTGTCTACGTGGTCTGAAGTTGATGTCTCTCGTGCAGGTATTCATTGAATGGTGTCCAGTTAAATGATTCATGGTGTCAAAAGTACAAGATATTTAATTGGACACCTTTGAGGCAAAGGCAAAACGTGCTGGGATCAAATCAAATGTCTGAGAAGCTGAAGATCTACAGGGGATGCAACTACAAATTTCTCAACAAGCCTCTTTACGTACTACGATTTTGACCACCGACACATATGGCTGTGGATGACGACTCATTATTATAGTAGTCCCTCCGAAACCCGATATAACATAAGATAGGAAAATGTTGTTAATAAATTAAAAACGATCTAAGATTTCATTGAACAGCTATACGTTTACACCTGTCGTTCACTATTCTATTCATTATTAATTAAACTAAGTTGCTTAACTATATCACTGCAACGAAAAGAGAAGTTTCTATGCTATTACGTTTAACATTCGAATCAATATAGAATTGAAGACGGTTTAAACTTTGGGACAAAAAGAATATTTTACCTTCGATCAACCATTCACCAGACGCACCCCAACCGGTACACACTCCAAAGTAACCGATTCCAAATGGCGAAGGATCGGCATATGTAAGGAACGAACTTGGTTCGCCTTCTCTACCTACTGACAACACACCGTCGCTCCATCTGAAAGAATCAGTACATCGTTAAAGTAGCGATTCGATGCAGTATCGTACAACGAATTAGTGATGTAACGTGACAATATAATGCGTCGATGTCGCTTCTAAAATTAACATTTAAAATAAAGAACTAGCCTAATCCAAAATCCACGAAATTCATCAGCACTCAGGATACCAGGAGTATCTACTTCAGCAGCCTCAGGTTTGGTTCTGTTCTTACGGATCACCGACTTGCTGTTGCTCCAACCACCAATGAACACCTGTAATATATCAATAATAATTAATCATCGTATTCTTTTTTTAAATACAAACAATATTTATTTGCAATTAACTTTACCTCGTACATCGGTTCTCCCTCGCTAGGGCCGGTAGTAAGAGCAATGTGAGCATCGTTTGCTGCTTTTACGCGAAACTGGATCTGCCCACTAGCGACAGGGTAGAACTGGTATTCCAGCTTGTCCTCGGTAGAAAGTGCTGCAAACGAGAATACGTGATTAGGGTTTAGATCAAACTAAATGTCATGCTTCATTTACCCTGAACCCATAAAATGCATCAATAAGTACGTATACATATTTATTCAGCTCATAAATCAATGATGATTAGATATTTTTTGCATGAGGAAGGAATTAATAATGGAAACTTTTCACGTTAGGCCACCGTGATATAATTTGCTTTTCAAATGGCCGTGTCTATCAAGATTTATAACAGAAAAAGTAACGACGCGATCTAGGTTCGCAATTATCGCGAGTACATTGATCGAAGCGAGTCCTGCATTGTCCTACTTTCTTTTGCTACCTCGTTTACTATACGCGCGCATTTCCAGGCGTCCAGACGTCTAGGCGCTCAAGGCAATGATTTCATTTTTCAACCATCAACTACTCTCAGTATTTTCAGCATAAAATTTACCTAGTTACACAATACATTAAACTTCCGAATACAAATAAGGCTTTAATAAGTGTTAATAAACTCTACCAGCCTGTACCAAGCTTGTATATATACATTAAAAAAAAAAAAAAAAAAAAAGTTAAAATGCATGTGTCAGGTTTTCTACCCTGCTTCTAAGTTACAGTCGTTTTTGTAGAATTCGTACACCTGCCTCGGGCGACCCAAATAAACACCTGGCGTCTTCATTAAAAAAGGACTTTGGAACTTGCTAGGTCTTTCAAACTAATCGCCTTTGTAAATATCAATCACATGTCTGTGTATCAATTAACTGAAAGAACAGAGGCAGTAAAAATTTGGTCGATGTTCGGTATTTTTTCATTTTTTCAGTTTAATGACAACTCGGGTAAAACACGAGTTTATGAATATATAGTCGAGGTTCGGTGTTCTTTAATATTTTTATCGGTTGTCATTTAATGGCCACGTAAAATATTTACCTGGTAGATTGAGCAATGACAGTAACTGGTAACCCAAATCAACGTAGATCAACGCCAAAACGGTTGTTTGCAACAGAAGATTCCGCGAAAGCACGGATCTCGAAAGCATACACATTCTATGTTCATTGAAATCCGTCGATATAAATTTTGATCTATACAAGTCCGTGTACATTATCGGTAAACGTCCTCGGCCTTTTATGTAACAAATTGCGTTCACGTCGTACTGTCCACACGCCATAAAATTAAAATGGAATTTATGACTTAATCCATCTTGACAAAAAATAAAGAAGCATCAACTTCGTAAAACGTAATATAAATCAGTTTTGATGAATTTAAAAAAATATCACTGTTAATTCACTATCGGAGAATATGTCCGTTATTTTGCTTTATTCGTACCATCGTACGGTAACAATCGATAAGTAAGATAGCTGTTATGTCTTCGTCGATTCTCAAAATATTTACGATAATTGCGATGATCGATGTGCAGATCGATTGTTGCTTTCGCACCTACTGTTTCTGTCAAAGCAGTCTCAAATCTGTATACAAGAAGGTTATGTCGAATGAACGTAGCGATTATAAATAGTTGCTTGTGTCACGAAGGAGGCCTCGCCGGTTGCTGACATCATCAATAAATGACCGAGAAATTATCAGCAATTCGGAAGTGAACGATTCAACTTCTTTTAATTTTTTTTACGCGATTTTTACCCGTTTAAAAGTGCGACGTTCAAATAAATTAATCGATACAAGGATTAAAAGGACGTCACCGAGCTGATGTCATTAGTATTTCAATATCGGTTACTTCATATTACGGTACTCTGATGACTCAAGGCGACTGGTATGGTGAACTTTCGTGCCGAGATTAGATGAACTTTCCTCCGTCATAATAAATTACTAAGTTGCATGTTAATGGATCATACGATATATGATTATCTCATTCATTGATAATTTAGAAACATGACGAATTGTAGTAATTTATAAACATTACGAGGACCTAGAATGTTCGAACGACAAATTCATTAGACCCAGATCCTATGACGTTGAACAACTGTTACGATTACAATTAACATAACAATGTGAAAATTAGATCCATTCAGCCTATTTCCATTGCATAATGATCATCACCAACTGATTCTCTCATTTCGCTATAACCTCCTTAACACGATCTTTTAACCTGATTCGACAAATATGTTCCAACAAATTTAAACAATCTTTTAATCTTTAACAGTAACTGTTGATACCTACGATTAAATTACTCTATGTACCTACTACATTCTTGAAAATGAATTGACATACTCAACTGCCAATAGTTACGTAGATATTAGTTCCTAAGAAGTCGTCGCGTCTTGTGCACCTAACCGTGTCTGTCTCCCTGTCATTGACCTCGCGTAGTAACTGTCTTTTTCCAGTAAGGTGCATTACGATACCCAGGAAGAATGAGGAACGTGATATCTAGGCCAGAGTCGCAAAACAATTTCCAAAATCTGTCATTCTTTCACTACGTACCAGAAAAATTAGTTGACCTAATTTAATATGAATCGAATAACTATTCTAACCTGTGCAAATATAACAATGGAAACAATTTATCCTCGAATGCAAGATACTAATAGTGCTAAAAGAGCGCACTAGGAATGAGACAATGTCTAAAACGAATGTAACGACCTCTGGTCACAAGGGGTTAAAATTTACTTGACCGCAATCAACGAACATTACGACACAGATTCCAGAAAGCAGGCGAGATTCCCTCGGTGTATGTACGTACAGGAAGCAGTGAATACGCGGGTTGCGAAATGATCTAGAAATCGTTGTTATACAAGAAATCCTGCTGAGAAGACGCGATACTTGAATCCTGAAAATGAAGACGGTAACACGCGGTTAGGAAACACGTAACGATACTATTATGTTTCTTCGAGCGTGCGAATGTTTTTGTTTCCGTTAAAAAATGTCGGAAAACATGTCTGTCTTATAAAACTTTTTCAGACTACACGAAAAGGCAAACGCGTGAAATCAGGTAGAATCGAAGAAACTAAGGCTAAGATTGATAGGAAGCTCGAGTATGCGGTAAAAGTAGCGCAAAGTTCTATACATTCGTGAAATCGTGTAGCGAAGAAAGCCGGCCGGCCGGCCGGCTTGTCAAACCTGCACAACCACACCCGTGCACTATATTTAGCTACACACTAGGAAAGAAACTGCGCTCTAAAGCGTTCTATCGTAAATAAATACCAATTCTTCACCGATTGTTATGGATCAATTGTTCGATAATCCGAAATACCGGCATCAATTGTTTCGATCGATATTGTCGAAAGTTCGATATTCTTTCTTCCACTGGATGGAAGCAGAGTAATAAAATTCTAAAATAACGATATTAATAATTCGTGAAGAAATTTCGAACAAGATGCGAAGAAATTCTGTAAATAAGCAATTTATGATGAATTACGTAAAATAGTATAAAGATTGGAGGTCACGCTAAAGTTCTTTATAAAAGACATAGTTGCTGAATTTATAAATATACGTGAAATTCGTTGGAAGCATGCGAGAAATTTTTAGCCATGCTTCGATTCAGTGAAAATGTGAAAATGAAAAGTTCACATATCGCTGTCTATTACATTTGTAACTCCTGCGCAGTAATTACTACGCAACTCATAAATGCGCGCTTAAAAATGATGTTAATGGATCACATATGTGTACAAGGACTAGTATTCGTTTATTGACTAATATTTGAGTTTGGCGTGACAATAAAAATATGCCTGTATTTTAAAATGCTTCTAATAAAACTACTTTTGAATAATCAACGAAGTAATAATCTTGCAACTGACGATACCAAAATGCCGGTAAGTAATCTGTCAAATCCAATAACAGCCCAAAAAATGCTAATGACCAATTAATAAAACGTATTTTACAGATAGTTACATAAATAAATACTTACAAATAGCCATGTCGTATTTTTTAGGCAACTACGAATAAAATTTCTGACAAGGGCAAAAACTGATACTCTCTCTTTGAAGGTTCAACTCGTACTGCGACGAAGCGCGGTGCGTTTTGACGCTTAGAAAGGCGAATTCTTTGCGCATGTGCAGCAGATATCCTGCAAAAGTAACGCCGGTAATTTGCAAGCGATAATCAACTAACGGATGAGTCATAAATTATTGATGAATATTCATCTTCAAATTCAGAAAAGACTAAACCAGAATTTCTTAGAATTGTTACAAGCTAATATTTAAATATACAATCCGTAATTCTGATATTTCTGATTGTTTCGAATATGCATGCAGTATGACTCAAGTTAGTCTAATTCTTTAATCGTTATTATTAACAGATGTAGATTACTGTAATTTATGTATTAAAGACGCAAATGATATGTAACATTCTTTAGAGATGAACTCATGGATATACATATTTCTAACAAACACCTATGCGATACTAACATTTATTTTTAATGTATAATATTAACATTACTAACTTGAATAACTTGTACCATTAATATTATGTTTCAGTGACGAAACTGTTGCGAACGTGACAATACTTCCTACACTTGCCATCACAAGGATATCTGCAATATCTGCAATTTTCACATTTACAGTTTCCAAAATTTTGATGAATTTAGTAGCCAACCTTGAAGAATAGAATCTTTTTTCTCTTTCTCTCCTTTTAGTTCTTCTCTTTCCCGTAGCAATATCGTCATAAATTGATGACCCCCACTTGATCACCATTGCAGGAACCAGCACGCCAACGTAGCTATTCAGTCACCGGAATGTTCGACTTCGAAACAGAATGTAATCCCTACATATTTATATTCGACGATTCGTTTTTATGACATTATTATGTTTAATAATGTAACGTCATACAAACACATATTCCAGAGTTTTCAATATTCATTGACAATATGTGTACAATTGACCGTAGAATTTAGGTCTGAGGATTTATTAGTCAGGCAAAATATTTTCAGTAGAGGTGAATTCGGTCACGTATAATTTCAGATATTCATAGTTTCTGTGTCCTCGTGAAACAATAATAAGTTACTACGTAATAATGATGGTAATGAATCGCTATGAATATGTAGGCGTCGTTTACAATGGATCGTATTACCGCATAAGATTAACCACAAAATTGTCCTGGGAATGTATCTCATTCATGATTAATAATTAAATAATATTTCTTCCGGCTTACATAAACACATCTTTCTCTCTTCATTATCAGTCTATGATAATATAGAAAGTTAGAAGACAGTTAATGGTAATTGGAATTTTCTGAAATGGAATGAAACAAGTGACGCCATCTCTACGACCAACAGGGTGAACTACACGTTTTTGAAACTGAAGTTCCAACACATTGTCATTTTCATAAAAAATCGCCAAGAACCATTCTCACGGATATGTTCTTTTATAAAAAAGAGCTCATTTGCAAAATTTGGTCGATGTCAGAGAATGACGGTTTTCCAAAGTTTCATCGAGTTTCCCTAGTCCTCAAATGATACGACACGTGGTACCACCACGGATGATATGTATAGTATAAAACCGAGTATGGTGTTGAGATGAATGTTACGGAAGTCTTGTATGGCTTCTTTTTAAGATAAAAAATGTATATCTTATTGATTCTCCGTAAGGATTTTTCAGGGACAAAATCCGATTAATAACGCATTATACTTTTAAATCTATACAAGAGGATTCGACGTATAAGACAACTTATGAAATAAGTAATATCTTATCGATCATCGTTTTCATTTTATCGTGATTTCAATCAATATTCAAAAAATTAAAATTGAATATAGCATGGCTGATCCAACGATTCAAACATTTTGTTGTCATCATTCAAACAGAACGGATATGGCAATTGTGATAATGCAGGAATTTAACACGGATGTTTACAATACAGTTTGTATGCTATCCTCAACAATAGGTATTTTAGGTGCAGTGTATCAGGTAAGTAAAATGTTAATATGTTACTGTTAGACACTTAGCAAATTTTTTCCTAGATACTGCCAAGAGAAACATCTAGTCTTCCTCACCGGTGGCAAAGCTTTTCATCGTCCAGGGGACGAGAAATTATTATATGGCTTGCAATAGCTGATTTGCTAGCTTCGTTAGGTAATTAAAAATTTTCCTTAGCATTAGATGAAGAAATAAAATGTCAATTATTCATTTTAGGTGTATTTATTAGATCAGCATTATGGATTAACTTTAGATCTATAATGCCAATGGAAGATGACACTTCGAATGTTATTTTTTGTGCACTTTCATCGGTAAAGTAATTTTATTAGAAAACTCAAGTTCAAGCTACATTTATCGTATTAATAATAAAGACCTTCTTCAGGCATGGACTCAGTATTTTTACATGGCAACATGGATTTGGACTCTGTGCTATGCTATTGATATGAAACTATTACTTGGAGATCGATCAGGAAATCCTGTTTGTTATCATGCTTTTGCTTGGATATGTCCAGCAGTTCTAACTACATTCGGGTTAACAATTTTGTATGTTCCAGATGCAAAGTTAGTAAATTTAATATATTATAAATTGTAGGAATTGTATAGATGAATTTGTAGAATTTGCAGGTTCAGCTTCTAAATATCCACAGTCTAGAAATGATAATGGTTTGACCTATTGACATCTTTATATAATCAAAATATAATATATTTCAGCTGTCACAATTTAACATCTCTCTCTACTGCTATACTGCGTATTCTGCCAAATTACTGTGCTACATACGTACTTCTAGCAGTTGTTATGATTGTGAATCCTGTATTGTATTTTGCATCAACACGAGATCTTCAAACTGCTGTTGCTTGTAGTCTAGCGCAAGTAACAGGGAGAGAAAGAAAATTGGTGCAAGCAATAAAACTCAAATTTGCTTTAACTAACATTGTATACTATGTATGTTGGCTACCTAATTTGATCAATGGGATATTATTATGGACTTTATGGTTCCAATTGCCAGTTAAAGCTATCATTACTCTTTGGTATATAATGGTATGTATACTTTATAATTTTACTAAAATAAATTTCATCCACATAAACATTTTATTGACAGGCCGTTACAAATCCTCTTCAAGCATTTTTCAATGCACTTGTTTATCAGAGATGGGGTAAAAGGGAGAAGTTTCGATTGGAGTGTTGCCAGAAATTAGGAACCTTTAATTTGAATCACGTTACAAGAAGAGATTCAGGCATGCGTTTGTCGGAATCCTCTCCTTTGTTAGATTCGAAATATGGATATCCACCACATACAAGTATAAATGGTTCTTCTTCGTTTTAAATACTGTGATACATGACATTAGCTGTAAGCATACCTTATTGATTTTATCAAAGTATAAATATTTTACTGCCTTATATCACTTTTAAAGAAAGATATATTTTTAACGTTTACAAGTTTTTTAAAACTTGAAGAAAAATAACGTGCTCAATCGTTCATAAAATGTTACGGTAAGATTGAACTAGAAAGATTAATATTTCTAATTAAGTAGAATAGGATTTTTTATAAAGTAGTATGTACCGAAGAGCTTTATTAAAAACAAATTTATCATTCCAACACTTTACAATAAGCACATTTGTTAATTGTTATAAATATAAAAGATTTTATTTTCTAAATACGTAAAAAGAAAACACATGTACAAAATATTACTATTTAATTAATACATACAATTCTTTCGTACATCTAACATTTCTTATTTTGATATTTCGGTGTGAATAATTGAAATTTTTTTTTTTACAATCGATAAGAAGCACCTTTAAAAGATTCGTACCTGAAAAAATAGCGTTATGTAGAATTGTCAAACAGATGGTTTGATTAGCACGTTTTATTCGCAGAACATTCTTCTCGTTGTTGATAAAAATTGTTATATACATCACTATTAATAAATAAACATTCGTTTTTTCTGGATAATACTTACGTATACGCTTTAGAAAGGGTATGAAGACTATGTTTTCAGGCAACATATTCTATTTGTATTAGCACCGAAAATTCTATATAAATGTGAAGAGTACTATCAGAGCAAAGTTTTTCGTTTATCTTTTATATTAAACTTGGAATGCTGTACATGATCATAATAATGCTTACACATAAATAATGTAATTAGTATAGATTGCCAAAATACTGTAAAACTTGCTGTTGCAAGTGCACTAAAAAAGCGATGCACGAACTTTTGTCATATTTGTATTAAAAAGAACCAACATGCACCATTAAATTCGATTGACTAATATTTTATAACATTAGTCTTGGACTGCATATATTACATTTGACATATTATCGTCTAAATCGTTTTCTTAGTACAATAATATACACCTTTTTTTAAAAATAGATTTGATTTTAATAAAATAATCTTTATGTAAAGTTAAATGTTACGTACTAATACTTGCTATATGTATAAGACTGATCATATGTCAAGACCTATTTGACTATACAATAACACAACGAATTATTTTTTTTTTATACATCATTAGGTACTATATAATTAAATATAATAAATACTGCCAAGTAGACACCTATGCTTTATGTTTGAAGAATACTTCAAAGAACTAACATTTCGCTGCTAAAGAGAATGCATTGAAAATAAACAGAATGATATTTTGTACTTAAATTTTAATTATAAAGTTTACTTCAGCGAATATTCACTGATTCCTAATGCGTTCAAATTGCAGCTTAATCGTTAAATCTTAAAACACATATTGCATTCTAATCTTGTTTTGCGATATGTCATAAATCGTTCGTTTATCACATGTATCTTTTTCAAGTTCTTAAAAGACGAAGCGTAAAATATATGAACCTATAAAAATACTTGGCAGTTTAATAAGTGGAGAAGTAATACCATCTATTGACGACAAAGCAATATGCTTTGTATATTCTAATATCATCGCCTTAAAAGTATGGTCATCGAGTTATGTGCAATAAAAATCAATACTTTTATAATCTCATAAACGTTCAAAAAGAATATTGAAAATTATTGTTTTTTTTTTTTTTATACAATTAATCATGATAATTTAAATAAACAAGAAAGCTTAGTATTTACATTGATATTAATTTCTTTTACGCCATCTCACCGACCGATTTATAAATTTTCTGCTCAAATCTGAAACTAACTGTTAGCGAAATGTTACGTTTTAAAAAACACTTTTTTTAAATATAAATATTTTACATATTTTCATGTATTAATTCTATATTGATCACAATTTTAATCTTATGGTAAGTTCAATTTTAAATATACGTGCCGTATACGCATCAAAGAAGGCAAAATATATTTATCATTAAAGTGGATAAGTTTACGAATATAAATTTACATTTTGTTCAAACATTAAATTTAATTGTTAAATGTATTAAAATAATTCGCTTTACGTTCGCTTAATTTGGCACTTTGGCAGAATATGCAGTTGTTGATCTACAAAAATTGAAAAAATAACGTCGAATAAAATATTTACCTCTAAACACTTAAAGTGTGAAATATATTATACTAGTAATAAAATTAATGTCGTTGGATGTAATTTCTGTCATCAGGATGAAAAATTTGAAGCTCCTTGTGTCAAAGAGGTGATTTCACGAACAATCATCTCAGCAATCTTCCATGCTAATTCCTCTTTGGCCTAATTTAATTAACCAATTTGTTCCGTGTTAATCCTTATAGTACTGGTATATAACAAATTTAAAACTTACCTTGTCTTGCTCCATATTTACAAGTCTTTTTACAGCACGTGTTAGTCGAGATTCTACAATTTTTACGTACAATTACTTAGATTCAATTTATAAATCTCAAAGTTTTATTTTTAATATCTTACCATATTTTCTTTGAGGATCTGGCTCAATTTCGGTAACAAACCTGCCTAGTTCATCAATGTAACCGACGCTCAAACTAAAAAATAAATAATTAGGTCACTCAGGTATATATTGTTCCGTTTATTCTACAGGTTTCTATATCTTATAATTACCTATATTTATTACGTTTCCATAAAGAATCTGGATCATAAAGCTGTCTAGTATCAATATTCATACCGCCCGAAATATTTGTTTTATTCTTCATGAATCTATTTCCTTCATTCCCTGCCTGCAGGGTACTTTGCATACTAATACTAACAGAACTCACCTCACTACTACAATCAGAACCTGTAATAATTGAATACATTTTCTATTTATGGAACACACTTGCACCAATTAATCTCAGTGCATATCTGAGATATGCTTACCAGCTCTTTTTAGCCTAGGATGTAAACTTGAGCATGGACTGCTTTGTATAGTACTAATCAATTCTGATAAGTATTTATAATACAACTGCGATGATAAGAAAGTAGGTAGATAATGCTGGAAAAAATATCTACTGTTATCTAAAGTTGGTGTTAAATATTATCAGCGTTTCGTTGCATGTAAGCATTGACCGAAGTTACAATATTTTACCTTATTCAAAAAATTATATACAATTTTACAAGGCTTATCAAAACAATCAGGTTGTGGTCCCTCTCCATCTTCACGACAAATATTCTGTTCTACTTGAAAACGAATTTTATCGCTAAAACCGAGAGGCATCGTTGCTTGCAAACTAAAATATCTGTAAGTTTGCATAGTCATGTAATTAATCATTTCTTTCATTATTAATATTTCCGAAAATTCAGCAAAAATTACTTGTCATAAATAATTAAAGCGTCGCTTTGTGCTTCTTCAGGGTCTGCAGCATCTTTTTTCTCCAATAAATTCTGTTTGTAACTGATGGCAGACATCCAAAAGTCTAATAATTCTCGTTTATTTTCAAGTTCCATAAACTGTAATACCATGATTATAAATTATTAGTTGTGAAAATTCAAGTTGTATTAAACATGTAAGTACAAACTCTACCTCCATGAAATAAAAAAATGCAGTTTCATTGTACAATATATCGGCCAATTGTACATTGCCGCTTGTTAGGACATCGATCTGATGTTTACAGTGAAATTCACTTCTTAAGAAATCATTAATATGTCTGAAACAATTAAATAGATTATCACAAAGGGAATGCTCCCAAATAATTTATATATACTTACTCATTTTCTAACGTCTGATATACTATTGCTTGCACAGACGATAGGCACTCTAGCATAGGCTCGATGTTTTCACAAGTAAGAACTTTCTCCATTTTTAGTTTAAAATCTTCAGGAATCTGGTTAATACCCAGAGCATCCTTAGCGATATATTTCTTATAAATTCTTGTCGCATCTTGTTTAATAGTAGTCAGATCTCTTTCTCTGCAATTATGCTTTGATTGTCGCATTTCGCTTATCATTTGACTAGTCTTTGGTATGTCTTTGCAATTTGATTTTACGTTATCACTACATACATACTCGTTGATCAATGCATTCTTGCTCCCTTTATCATTTACACTATTATGCGTTACTTGACAATGAAAATTTTCGTTACTGTCTATCGAAGTGAAAAGCCTGTCCGTACTTTCCGAACAATTTACACATTCGTTTGCCTTCAAATCATTAAAGGAACTGCATAAGCATTCCACCTCGAGCCAAAACTTGATAAGTGCTATACAGTTTTGTGTCTCCATGAATTGAATGAAATAACCTAAAGCACCTTTATCTGCGAGTATCTGTGGAAGCGTTTTAGAGAGCTGAGAGCTAAAGGAACACGTTTCGTTTGTTTGACCATTGAGAGTCTCATCTTCCTCTTCCTCCTCAAGGCTGCACAGTGTACTTGTTGGTGTTTGAATCGATGAACCACTGTTGAACACATCTCCAAACGATTTCCCAGAGCTAGTTGATTTTGTTGGAGAAGTTTGTAAAGATCTGGGCCTGTCTTTCTGTCCTGCAATCATTGATAATTCTGCTATGAAACGTGCAATAAAAAAATTCTTCATTCTGTGTTGATTACAACTACCATGCCAGTGGGCATGAAACTTAAGGAGTGGTATGACAGAAAAATAAATATTTTCTGTTTAGGTTAACTACAGGTATTAGCAACAGGAATCATTCTTCTACGTAAAATGTCAATAGGTCACAAACAGAGGAATATTTACCAGGCTTCTTAAAAAATTGGAACATTGTTTACGTCAGAACGAAACATGATAAATGACGCGATATAATAATCACGCGGAGAAATACAATGTTTTGACGGCTGATACGAGCCCTCTTCCTGCGACGGACAAAAAATGATGCTTGGGTTTCTTTTGGACACAGTATCGAGCACTAAATTAGGAAAACGACACGTTGAACTTCCTCGATTGTATGTATAAAACGGTACATGACATTTCAGCGGGCCGTCATTAATGTCATTACTGTTCCGTTTAGGATCTCTGCGTCGACGGTCCTGCAAGCATTTCTGCGACATTTGCTGACTCGATGCGCACACTACGAAATGATCATGAATCGAAGATGCAAGGATGATACTAAACTTGCGTAACCGACTGTTTTTGCTTATGAAATCATTCTAATCTCTGTAGCCATGTTGCGACGATTCGTAGAAACATAACTATATTCATAGAAAACGATTACATTTAAGTCGTTTCGCAATGTATTAAACCAGCTAAAAATGTACGGAGCATTTTGCTTCGGTAGCAAAACTATCGCGGTCGTGTATGTCTGTTTGCGAATTTCAAAAGCTGCGATATATTGGTGATTTCAAGCAATTGTCAATATTTTAGAGTGGTCAATATTTATTGGTAATACCGAGAAACATTGACAAGATTATTATACATATACATATACATATATTGCAATATTGGCCATCTAAGGTCTCCATAACGCGTGATAGCGATACATGTAGTGAGATTATAGGTATAAAAAAGTATTTGTTCCTTGAAAATACTTGAGCGAAGCAACGTTATACGACCTTCTAAAAAATCCCACAATTCCTTATTATTCAAGATTCGTCTAACTTGATCCTGCGGTTCGTCGAACGCGTTTGGAATTGTATTTTAATACTATTTAAATGAAGAATCAATTTGTATCGGTCAGCAGGTACACGCGTTCTTGTATATCGGTATACGAAGGGGCCAATGTCCGGCCACTGTGCTCGAGGCCCTCATGACCGTTCGACGACAAAGAATACCGGTTTCTCGGTGTACTGACCACTATATCAAGGAAGAGCGTCGGTATAACGTCGCCTTTTAACCAGATCCGTTCAGTCTGGATCCTGTCGACGGTCCTCGTACATTTTTCCAAGCTTTACCGCCGAAGTAGATCGATCTTCCATGATGTATACACATTACGGCCTCTTCTTCTTGACTTATTACATTGTGACTGGTCTGTCTCTACCGGCGACCTATGATCAACGACAGACTGGTGATCTAAACGTGCAGGTCCATTTGAAGGATATACAAGTGTTGGCATTGCTGGACTCGGAAGTACTTGACGATTATACGGTAAAGCAACGACTATCGGACACGATGTTCCACAATGCTGTAAATGTAGCTTGATAACAGGAAGATAGCGCGATAACGAATACTATTATTACCGTTCAGTTTTATCTTTATTATTAACACGGTAGAAAATGATTTATGTCCAGTTACCCTTAATGATTTAATATGTAAAATGTTCAAATGATTTTCTTAATATTTTTCTTTACATATATTGTTTGAATTAAAAAGCTTGTTTTTTTTTCTGTGGGATTCAACATTTGATAGTTAAATACTATCAAATTATTTTAACTACTTTAAACTGGAATTTTTTAATCCTGAATTATAGGAATATGATTATTTTTACGATTACGCCGATTTCACGTTGAAACCGACCGTTAAACCCACCACGAGTACCACCGAATCAGCTTCACCGTCCTCGGGAACCACCGATGCCTCTGAAACACCTGATTCATCCTCTCAAAATTCCACGGTTCTCTCATCCACCGACTCATTAACTAATCTGACAAATGATGCTACAAATCTCACGTCAACGGATGCTGAAAAAACAAACGCAACTACAGCGACTTTATCGACTGAAAACACGGAAGATTTAATTAGCATAAATGATACGTCGAAAGCAACGGTTAAGAACAACGCTAGGAACATATCTGATGAGGATGATGAAGATTTAGCGAAGCGGATCGAAGGAGGTTCCACGAGAAATCCACTGACAAGATTGTCCCGTAAACGATGTAGAACTGGATATTCAAAAGATGGGAAAGGTCGTTGTCGTCGCCAGAGTCAAAGAAGATTATCATTAATACCGTAAGTATTAACGAAGCAAGGAAACATTCACGTCACTCGCGTTCGATAAAATGATATACTTGTTACGTGATCGATTGTAGATATTTTTATCCGAAACTGTATTAAGCTGACGCATTATCAGTCAGAATTTTTGAACCCGACGATCCAGGTATCAGTTCAGTGACGTAATAATTATATCTAATTTTTAGGCTCGCAATAAAGTTGGCGCCCAAACTATTGGACGACCTAGCGCGTACCACGAAGAATCTGGCGCAGGAAGAAGTTGATCGGATGCACTCGAACTGAAACGTGCCATGAATATTTGATACCGTGCAGAATCACGTATGAGGCTGCTTTGTGTTCCTCGTTGACTGATGTTAGGTTACGTATGCGTGCGTCGTTCTCGTCTTCTCGTCGTGCATTTTTATTTGCAATAATGTAGCGAATAACCTGAACAGTGTTTGACATGTTTCTGAAACCATGTATGTATGCTCATATAAATAAGTCTATGAACGATCTTTGAAATAAATGAATAGATTAATACACAAAATTTCACTGTTCCTACTGTTTCTTTTTATGAAGTTGTATCATGAATCCTTTAAGATAACCATGACCTTGACCTTGATAATATTCCTCTATTCTTTACATTCTCGAGAAGAATTTATTTCGAAACGTATCACTAAGGGGAATTCTGAAAACAAGAAGGTTATTTAAGGTTTTTTTTTAAGGTTTTTTAATAGAGAAGTTGCAGTAATACAATTCGCGGCGATATAAAATAGTCTTTATAAGATAGTAAGGGACAGGTTATGCGAAGTCTTCGGTTTCTTGTTTTTAGTAATAGCACGCAAAGGGAAATAAAATGATAAAAAGTATCATCCGCGGATAGCACTAACATAAATTGTGTTCACGTTCATCCGTGTGTTCTTACCCTCTCCAGCAGTGATACTCCCTCGATCTATATACGAGTCGCGATCCAAAGCTGCCAAGAAAGCGAACGAATCTCAGCCACAGTCGAGGATCGGACTTCGTTCAGCTCGGCCGATTCGAGCGGACGCTTCCAGAGGGCTTTGGCAAGATGCTACTTCACGCCGCGTGCCTCCTCTTCTTACCAGGTACAACGATCTGAATTGATCTTTGCGTGAGATAAAAGGGCCTTTCCTGAACGTTTCATTTTTGCTTGCTCAAGAATTATATATTTTATGATTGCTTCTGTAAAGCATGTTCATGGAACTTCTAGCCTTCTCTTCTACTCTTTACAGTTTAGAGGATACTTTGGTACCTGAGATTGTTTAAAATTTCCAGGTTTATTACAGCACCTGTGCATGAAATAAAGAATATTTAATATTTCTTAAATGTGTTAATATTCAACATTAGTTTAGTGACCGAGTATTCTTAAATTACAGATATTCTGTTAAGATCATTCGTCTCACACGTTAGTGCTGCACCAGCGACCTATGATCAACGTCAAAGCGGTGACTTCAATGTGGACGCAAAGTTCGAGAACTTCCTGATCATCGTCGCCACTTCCGGTACTAGCTCTCTGTTCAACAACCTGGCAACGCAAGCGCTAGAGCTTAATGACTTGATATCGCGCAGCAAGCAGAGTCAAGAGAAGTCGTCCGAGACGATGATCTACGAAACGGAAGATGCAAATAGCGGAAAAGAACCTTACCACGTTGAAATTGTTCATATAGATAAAGGGGATGATAAGTCCGAGAAAGACGTACCCAAAGAGAAAATTAAGACAGAGAATTCTGAGAGAACAGACTTAGTTGCCGATGATGAGAAAGGGGCGAAAAGAGCGCGAAGTCTTTTTAAAAGTGAGAAGTACGAGCATACCGATCGTTCTATGAAAGAAAACAAGAAACCTATTGAAAGAAGAAACTCGCACGTGAAAAATCTTGAGCAATCCGATGATTTGCCGGTTAAGGAAGAGACGTTGAAAGCGGCGAGACCAGGAATATCTTTGAAGAAGCAGTTATCCAAGAGTGAAGAGGAAAGCGCGCCACTGGTATCCGAAGAGAGAAATGAACTGGGTCACAATTACCAAGAATTGATACTTTTGGGAGATGGCATCGAGAATTGCGGACCTGGAAGATACAGGGATAAATTAGGTATTTGTCAGAAAGATAAGAGTTTTCAGGAAAATTAGATAAAGTGAAGACTACTTTTACCTTCTTGCGCGGTTCTTGAATGTTAGTTCTCCAATCGTTTAAAATGTTGTGACTTATGATAGATACACTTAGTTTTGTCTAAAATATAAATATATATGGTAATTGTGATATATATGGTAGTTACAAGTTTAAAACGATGGTGCTTTAAAATCTATCAAATATATTCAAAATTCCCGCGCGAACTTTGATCTCGTAATCAAACTAGATATAAACTGAGAAGCGTGTCCTATCTTTTTTTACATTTATAGTATTTATATATTTCATACATTTGTATCATGTATAAGTAGAGAAATAAATTACGAGCAGTCCGAAATAAAAAAATACTGTTTCATTGTATTTCATCATTCTCCCAATAAAAACATAACTTAACCTGAAAATCTTCTGAAACGTTTTAATCGCGGAACTTCACGAATCTCATATTTATCTCTGTTTACCGAAGGAGTGGTTATATTTATCGGTTTACCAAACCTGAGTGTGTTCGAACACCCGAGCGTCGATCGAACGAGTTTAATTTTCAATAAGTTCCGTCAGAAGGCGCCATTCGAGGCGAACCAGGAAGACAATCCGCGAAGTTCGAGTGTCGCGGAAATGTAAGAGCAAGGGCAAGGTTACGGTAATAAGCGGCGGCTGAGACAGAGGAACGGGGAAATGAACTCGGTGGGGCCACACGAGTCCATTGCCCTTTACAAATCGGTCCCACCGATGTGTATGCGCTCGCGCGCGCGTTAACCGAGCCACATTCGTATCTTCTACAGACGTCTTCGATGTGTACAAACTGCCTACCATAGTCGTGTTTCTCTCTTCGTTGTTCGAACTTGCACCTGAATACAATTGCACTTTTAAGGACTTTGTTAGAAGAACTAGCTTGACTTTTGTATGACCTGTGCATTAACCTAAAAGAAAAATCATATTAAATAAACCTCTTCCATTATAAGATTTTGTTGCGAAACATTTTCGAATCGAATCCCGTGTAGTTGAATAAAATATTGATTCGACGATGGAGCGTTCTTTATTCGAACACGAAAAGTTTTGGCGCCAATGAACGTGCGACCCGAAAATATGTAAAACGGAAAAAAGAGAAGAATGTGAAATGAGACGATAACGTCGTCCAAATAGAAAAATCAATTCCATCCAAGATTACACTCTACCTGGCTATATATGCAACAGAATGTGCACAGTGGCCCACAGGTTCTTGAACTTGCCTGACGATCTGTTTCCATGCCAGGTGGGGACCGGGATCGCCGGTCGGCAGGAGACGTCGTCACACCTCGCTCATCCTCCGCATCGTCAAGACGTTCATTGCTAACACGCCACGGGCATCGTTTTTTATCATCAAAAGCCACCACAGTCCTTTCTCGATCGTTCCCGAGTCGATCGTTTATCGCGTTAACCTCAGCCGAGCGCTCGAAATTCTGACCGGCTTCGATTTAAAAGCGCCAACAAAGACGCGGACGCTATTAACGTATATCGTCGATATCGGCACCGATAATCGAAACACATCGATGCTATCGATCAACATGCGAATTTTCAAAGCGGTGCTGTTACTCTTCGTGTTCTGCTCAAATAGAGTCCAGTGTTTACCGATCGCGAACGAGACATCGATCGTGGAACCATCGACCACGACGCAGTTTCCCTACGATTCTACGATCGATCATTATGATCAACGTCAAAACGGGACCGAGAATTATCGCATCCACGTGGACGGCGTGGTACTCGTCGTCGCTCCTGTCGAGACGCTTCTTCTAGCAGGTGCAGCTGCCGACAATAAACCTAACTTACCGATTGATTCGTCGAAGCCAACTTCGAGTAAACCGGAAGTTGATCCTAAACCGTCGCCTGTCCCCAAGTCAGCACACAGGTATTTTCTTTTCGTTCATTCGTTCGTTATATTAATTTTAGTACGATAATTAATGAATGAAATAAGTCACGTGATTGGCTAGGTTTTTAAATAAGTGGCGCCATTATTCATTTCTATTTTGTAAGTGGTAGTAGCTCGCTCGGAGCTGTATGCTCGCATTCGACGTAATTGCTGTTAAATTTCTTTTTCAAATTTCTACATCTATATAATATTGTGTTATCAATATTTTAACCTAATAGAGGAATGTTTTTATTCTAGGGCTGGTCTGCGCTTCGCAAATTTGCTAATTCCACTGCTGCGACGTATTCGCCACGAGTAAAGGATTTGAATTTTGACAAAGTATACTGAATGACTATTATCGATTTTCCTGTTAATCTCATACCACCTATTTCCTTCTCACCTACTCAACTATCTATTTCATTAAAATGAGTTGGTTTAGGGTAATATTCAATGTTGCTTGCAATGTTATTGGACCTATAAATACCAATTTTTGGCAAAGAAAAGTAATACTCTTAGGTTACAAATAACATCACAGGATAAATTTTTATTGAAACGAAATTTATTTGATTAAAAATTAAAATACATTATTTATGATTTCCTTTTTGGTATATCATCACAATACTTTGTATAAAAAATGCTTAGGACTATGATCCTCAGAATATACATCATCTGGGTGGAATCGTTTATTTCGTTAAAAAGAAAAAGGAAGGGTGAAAACGATGACTTTCACGCGAACTATACAAATACAGTTTATGATAAGTAAGATTGAAAGAAAAAAAGGAAAAAAGGAAAAGATCATACATAAAAGGAAAACGATCATCTTTGAACGCATTAGATTAAAAAAGTAAGTTTCACGATGTTCACTTATATACAATGCCTCGAAAACTTACACGACGGATAATTGTGAATCATGGAAGCGTGTACAAGAATATGTTTCTCAAATATATCTCACCATTAAAATAGAAAGCAGCTCTGTGTGTACGTGTCCGTGTATTGTGTTCTCTTTTTTCTTCACTTCGATATTCACTGTAATAATTTTCGTTAAGACACGTTCCAACCGAAACAGGCGGGACATTCGAATATCGACAAATGACGGATCAAAGAATTATCACGAAGAACGTTTTATTCATTCGAATGATTCGTATTCGGTAGGAATGCGCGGGTAGCCAAGGTTCTTGTCAGGAAAAGATGAACGGGATCGTGCTCGATCCTGTAGAAATTTTTCCAAACCCAACCCGAAGATCTGATACCTGATGTATCAGGCTACCGATACATCCCTATTATTCGCCAATATATGCCAATATATGCCAATATCGTAAAACTAATGTACCCTGTTTGTTGTTTTACATTTGAGGATTTACACGTGATCTCTTAACGTTTAAACGAGCAAGTGAAGTTCGAGTGAATCATTTTTTAAGGTACATCAAAACCTATCCTCTCCTCTAGTAATACAGGAATTATTAATACTCTCGAATCTCGAATAACTTTCCTTATTTATAGGACGATAAAATGCATTCGGTGGGCACAAGAAATTCAATCGGTGAATGCAATTAAGTAATTCCTTGGTTTCGTCTAGTCGTATTAAGCAATTGATATCGCAATTAATCCTAACGCTGAATAAGTAACTATGAAATGGATGCTATGCGAGAAAACGGCAACGTTTAAATCAGGCATGACCAAGTACCTACATACGGTTTCTACGTTTGGATGGTCACATTTGGAAAGTTCGATTGACTAATTTGAAAGTACGGATAAAGCCGAATTTCGTTCGCGAACTATCCTTTGTTCATGCCTAATTTAAATAACGATTAATGCTACACGAAAAACTAAATTACAAGTCTACGATCGTGACGATCGTAGGCTGCGATTCAGTTTCGAAAATCATCAGTTTACCGTTACATGTATGTGTACATATATGTATATACGCGAGATACATTCGAACGATAAAATACTGAAGCAATGCGCACAAATAACTTCCATATGAACGAAGAAAGCTGTACATGACTTTGACAGAAGCAAAATGCCTACAATTTACGGACTACGATATTACCTAATCACATTGGCATGATTCGTCGAAGATAATTTTCATGTACACCAGGTCGCAGGCCATTAGCTATGTCTCAAACGATACGTAAGGCAATTCAGCGTTGTCTCGTTTCATCCGCAACGAATAATTAGCGAATGGACTTAGTAGAAGTGTACACGGTTGAAAAGAAAAGATACAAAAGGAAGAGGAACGAAGGAAACTTAAAGGTAATTAGGAAGAAAGTTGAGCCGCTGCATTCGCGTTGAGATCTTCGCAGTCTCCTCCAGGGCCACTACTATTTGCAACTGCGGGCTCGTCAAATTTTAATTCCTCCTTACCCGCCTACAGAGGAATTATTCCATTTGACATCTTTTTCAAAAAGTCAATCGTTGATTAAAAAAATTCTTAGAACGCCACTCGAGAAACATTTCATAGATACGTGTCGGCAACATCACCGGCTATTACCTCTTTAATAATCAGACGACAATTCTCCATCACGCTACGTCTTCTGTCCGATGTATTGCTTAAGATTTCTTCAGACTGATGCAAACTCTCCATGATTTTACGGAGCTTCTCCAATTCGGCCACGGTTACTTCCAACTTTGTTTCTAATTCGGATCTACAAATTATTGTATCATTACATATCGTGATTTATCGTAGGGAGAATCTCTCCCTAAAGCATCCTCGAATAAATTCAACCTATTTATGTCTATTTACGTCTATTTATGTGACATAACTTTTATCAACGTAGTACTTACTTTTCTTCCTTAAGCTCTTGTATACACGTATCGTTATCGTGTTGTATAATTCGCAATACTTTCAGTAACTTTGTAACAAGATTATCTACATCAATAACTTGATCAACAAGACTAACAGCAGGACAGTAATCCGAAGCCAGCGGACCATCGTTAGTTCCAGTGTCAGATTCACTGATCGAATCGCAATCTTCGTCTTCTTCGTTCTCCACCTGTGAACGTATCGCATTGACATTCTGTCGTTCGTGTCGCATTTATTTTTTAACATTTTTATACTACCTTACGACGATGCAAAATAGCTTGCGTGAGATTCGTAAGGCTGGAGCATTCGTCATTGGTTCGCGTTTTCTTAAGGTTACTTTCGTCCACGGTTTCTGGAAAGCTCAAGGCTCTACGAAGCGAGTCACTACTGGATACCATGTTGTGCGAATACGTGTCTGGCAGGGGAACATCCTCTAGCACGCTCTCCATCATTAAGCATGGCTCGGTTTCGAAATCGAGCAAGTCAGACGATGATTCCATGCTCAATTCTGTAAATGACAATTAAAGACGGAACTATTAATTATAAATGCACGGAAGATTGACTGATGACTGCGGATGTAATCGTAGAGGTAGGAAATGATACATTAAATATTGCTTACCTTTGTATATCTGTTTAGCTGATTCTATCGTGGTTTTTTTATCCGCGTTTTTCGTTGCAAATGGATGGGTCGCTGCGTTGCGGATAGCTCCGATCACAGCGGAAACGAAGGAACCGCTTTTTGGACTAGGAGTACACTCTTTCAGACTATGCTTAGAACTAACAGGACTCGACTCGATGCTGCTATTGCTTCTGCTGTACGCTTCATTGTGATATATCACATCCTACAAGGAGAAATTAATTACACATTTTAAATGCGATATTCAAAAAATCTAACGACAGAATGAGATAAGAGAGTCTTTAAGCACTACCTCAAGGTCTTTCACAGAGATATTGTAGGAAGTAATTAATTGGTCTACAAATCCTTCTAATCTAGTTCCAAGAGCGGAAAGCGCTACCGCAGCACCGGAAACGGCAGCACCTTGCGTAAGTAGCAGTTCCCTACTCCGTCGTTCGACCGCGTTTAATTTCATGCTCATTGACAAATTTTCTTGCCTGCAAATCAAGCGGATAACCGAGTTAGCGATAAGCTCCGGTTTTATGCAATCGTGTTATACGCGTACCTTCGTTGTTCGCTTATTCTTACTAAATGCTTGCACTCCTCGGTTTGCCTTTCTAATTCCTGCTCTCGTTTCGCCAACATCTCTTCCTTCTTCGACAGCTATGAATTTGAACAATTAATTATAAAGTTTCTACATACGATTAAATAATATTTGCAACAGAAGAGTACCTCCGCTTCAGCTTCCTTCAAAGAATCCGCCAAAGTAGCTTTCTCTTCTTGAAGGAAGTCCTGCATTTCGGCAGACTCTGCTTCTAGTTCTTGTTGTTGTTGCAGCAACGCCTTCTGTGCAGCCAAACTCTTCTCCAGATCCTGAAAAAACGAATTTGCCTATGATTAACTGTGCCGAGTTACGAGAAAGAGGACACAGTATTGAATTTAGAGACAGAGAAACAACTGTTCTCGATTTTATAGATGGAACTTTTCCCTTACGCTATATATCGTCTTGATTTATAGCTAGTATAAGATAATAACCTACCCTGCTCAACATACGGCACAAAGATTGCAAGTCAGCTATTTCTAATTGTTGACTAGCCACCACTTGTCCAGAGGATTGCAAATGGCACTCGAGTTCCAGGAAGCTATCGCTACCTTCTGAAATAAAACTAAGGTTGCTATCGTATTTAACTGAAGAAAATGTTGGGTTGTTGCGGACGAAATGTTGCGGACGTCTGATCGACATAACAAATTCGTTATCTACATATTCAGCAGTAGTTATACATTATAGAATTATGCCATCTTTCAAACGTTCAAAGACCGTCCATTTGATACGCAACAACCCGCTAAGCACGGACAATATGAATCACCCGCGTGTTCAGATTGAGGTGTTCCCAACATAGCCAGCACCCGTTGAGCGTTTCTGTCCAGTTCCTGTCGGGCAAACGCGTGATCCGCCTGTTCCTCTTCGAGCAGACGTTTCACCTCGGTGATCTCAGTCTTCAGCTTCTCGTTCTCCACCTTCTGACTCGACGTTTCTTCGTTCAATCGCTTCAGATCGTTCTGCATCGTTTGAACGTCCTCCCACGCGCCCTCGGTTTGACATCCTTCGTGCAATCTCTCGACCACTTCCGGTCCGGGTACGGCGCTGGGTATCCCGGACAAAGCGTTTTCAATATCGTCACCGGTCAGACCAGTTTGCACGCTGGTCTCGTGGTAAATACGCGTCCTCTCCGCGGTCTTGTACCTAGGATAGGGCGGCAGACTCTTGTGACCGGAGGACTCTTTGCCGACCATCTTTTTCTCCGTCAGTCTATTCAGACTCGCGTCCCTGCTTCCTGACCTGCTTCTCGTGCTCGTGTCCGGCTTCTCCGCGACCTTGGCGATGCCCATCTTGTTCCTGTTTCTTCTGGGCAGCGTCGCGTAGGTGTCTAAAGCCTTGTTGTCCACGCTGGTGGTCATCTTGTCGGTTCTGGGGGTTCTGGCCGGATCCGTGCGACCCGTGTAAGGTACTCTGGCGGTGGTCAGAGGTTTCCGGACCTCTTCGGACGGCGTCGAGCTGGGTGTCCGAGCCCCACGAGTGCTGGATCCGCCTCTGGACCTGGAGCTGCTGGTCTGACCTCGTCCGCGTTGCGCCAGGTCCTTGTTGATCTCTGTCGTGAGCACGGATGGCAGTGAATCGGGTATCGGTCTGGTCCTCGTTCGCGGTGGCATGGAGCTCGTTCCTGACCGGAACGTCGTCGGCACTCGACTGTTGCTGGACGAGTTCTCGCCAACGTTCTCTCTAACCGTCGACTTCTCCCTGGATCTAGCCCTCGTCGCCGGTTGTGACTTGCCGAGGATGCTCCTAGGAGCGGTGGTTCGCGGTTTCGATCGCTGAACGGTGGCCGAGTAGGTGGTGTTCAGAGGCACCGGCTTCGCTCTGGTGCTCTTCTGAGCCTCCGCGGTGCTCGCGGCCTTCTTCTTACTAGCGGCGGAAGCCGC